TTATTCGTGCACCGATATGTAAATATTACGGAAAGAAATGTAGTCGGAGTTCCAAAGTTAGCTTGCATATGTGATGACCCAAAGCTAATTTTCAAAATTCACTTGAAACAGTAACAAGCAACAAATCCAATAGTAATGACTGATCTAAATGTTATCAAAGTATAAATGAAATAATTGTTTCCTTTCAACTATTTAAATATACACTACAGCATGAATCCGGCCGACTCTCCTTTATCAGTAGCGAATCCCGTTCTCTAAAACATGTTGTGGTTTTTCTTCTTTTATATAAACATGAACGTTTAACATGTAATAAAGATAAAGGCTGTTTTTTTGTTAAAGATTTATAATGCAATACAAGTGATAAATACACACTTGCCTTTACTGAAGTGGATCCAATATTCAGAATTTGTTTTATGAGAGAAAACTGTAACTCATCTTACAGAACCCTTTGTGTCACATAAACTTAAATTCCGACTTGACATAAATCTTTCTTTTAGCCTTAATGGAGTTATCAATGAAGGTCATAACTATACTGCTGTTGTTCAATCACTACATCTGATATTTTTGGGTATGAAAATCTATTTAATAATTTGTTGTTTTAAACAAGATCATTATGTTTTGTTTTTTTTTGCATTGAAATTATGAATAAATTTTTTCTTGGAATTGCACCAGATCGTTTCATCCTGTATTGTTAATGGAGTAGCTGTAAAAAAATGTACTCAAAAGTACAATCACCAATATATAATGTACAACGTATATACATGACAAATACAAATAAAGATATAACAAACGACAACCCCTTTAAGAGTAACTGTCGTTTTTTAATCACATGAACATGGTTGAGTAAACTAGTTTTTCAGATGAGATCTCTTTCCCTTTGCGTTTAATTTTTATCAGTGGAGTAATAAAAGGTACATAAATGAACATACAATAATCAAAGCGCTTGTGAGCAGTGATAGGTAAAGATTGCTTTCATTTGCAATGTGAACATTAAAATAAAAATTGAATGGCAATGAAAACCATTTAGGAAATGTTTTGAATTTGAGTTATATTCATATGCCATGCACAACTTCTGTAATTTTTAATAAAAATAGTTTTCGTGAAAAGTGTGATTATGCAAATTCACATTAAGTTGTAACTTGAATATATGTGCTGATATTGTTAATCAATTGCTTGACATGGGGATTTATAATGATCTAAAGAATGTTCATCTCACTGCACTATGTTGTTTGAACTCTCAAAGGTAGAGATGAGGCTTGGAAGATATTACTATCAAGCCAGGGACATCAGGGTTTGAATGCATTTTATGCAATCTATATCCCAAAAATAATGGTATAATGGAAAACAAAAACACAAAAACAAATAAAACAACAAATACACAATAAAATACTGTATCAATAAATTACTGAAAGTCACACTGGCATGTGCTATCAAAGCCAATCCACACACCAAATAATGTCAACCTATCATATCTAGTTACTGAGGAACAGAATAAAGCTTATTTCATAACATCTTTCCTTGTGGCTTAGTTGACCCCTTCATAGGCCAAGCTATTATATTCTGTATTATTGTATTTTCGTTTCATGTTTTTCATTCATTCTTATCTTGTTGTACAAATGTATATGTACAATGTATATATTATTTTTTCATATGAGAAATTTTTTTACTCTGAATACGTAAAAATTTCGCAATTCACCTTCTTGTTTCTCTTTTCATCTATGCATTGCCCAATAGAATGGAAAATACATGAGCTACTCACCGATTCATACAAGTGAATGTTAAACCTCTGATGGTTTGTTTGGGCTGTAGGAGGAAAGCATAAATCCTTAGAACTTAATGTAACCTCTGAAGGCTGAAAATTTCGTCACCACAAATTACTTAAAACCTTTACTAAATTCTTCCATAGATATAAAGATTTGGTTTGGAAGTTTGTTTGTTCTTGTAGAAAACATATTTCAAAAGGGATAGCACATCCTAATTTTTAAGGAGATGTTGTTTACTGAGGCCGAAAATTTATATACGATACCAGTAAACTTATCTATCCTTTAAATAAACTTATTCTAAAAGGTTACCAATTCAAATCTATAATTAGATCTTTGAATATTGATTTTATTGGTATAAATATTGATTTTGTTATCAGTAAATTAAACTTAAACTAAATATTATTTTTATATACTTGTGCACATTCATGGCTCTACAATCTGTTGATACCTGTATCTTGGCATTGCACAAGGTCATGTTTTTCTCTGACTGTTCTTTACACTCCATGGATGTACTGATTGATATTTTACTCTTAGACGCAGGATTCTTTTATTAGTTGTTATTGCCTTTGAACTAGCTGTCAGTAACTGCGAGTACTCTCAGATCTGTACTTAGTGTCTTTTTGTTGTGGGGATGTATAAGAACCCTGCCACGTCCACTCTGTATTTTTGTTTCGATGTATTTCTGCTTTGTATCCTTCTGATGAGTTAAGCCCCTTTCAACTGATTTTTATAGTTTGTTCTTATGTTATTATGTTGTACGGTTACACCAATGTCCCAGGTTAGGAGGAGGGTTGGTGCCTTCAAACTAGTTTAACCCTGCTACATTCTGTATGTGCCTGTCCCAAGTCAGGAGCCTATAATTCAGCGGTTGTCATTTGTTGCTGTATATCATAATTGTTTTTTGGTCATTATTTTGTACATAAATCAGGCTGTTAGTTTTCTCATTTGATTTTTTTTTACATTTTTCATTTCGGGGGCCTTTTATAGATGACTATGCAGTATGGGTTTTACTCATTGTTGCAGGACTATAGTTGTTAATTTCTGTGTCATTTGGTCTCTTATGGAGAGTTGTCTCATTGGCAATCATCATACCACATCTTCTTATTTTTATATAGATTTGTGTTTTCACTGTTTTTTTCAGAATACATAACAATGCATTTATGTTTGAGCTTCATACATATATATTATCCATACATCATAATACTTTCTCATTATTAGACAAAATAACTAACAATAGAAGCATCTAACATTCTATCTACCGGTATTCTTTCTAAAGTATATATGAATGGCATATGTAAAAAAAAAAAGGAGCATTTCCCTCTTCTCCCCCCCCCCCCCCCCAAAAAAAATGAAGTGAGTATGTCTCAATGGATAGATGACATGTTTTAATGTTTTAGAATGCCTACCTAAAAAGTAGATAATATAATACAATACTAAAAAAAAACTCATAAATGGTTCTGCAGAACCCTGTGTCTTGCCTGCGATTGCTGCTGTCAGTGTTAAAGTGTAATCTTGACTTAAAAAGTTGCTAATACTTTGTCTTGGAGATTAGCTTTTGTCCAAGTTTCATAACAATCCATGAAGTTTAATAACTTTATCAACTCAATTTTTTTATCCCAGCCTGTCTGTAAATGTTAACTGTAGAAAATTAAAACCATCTATCAGAAAAAATACGGAAAATGAAAAAAAAATATTTTCAAACATTTGCTTCAGAAATTATCTCTTAAACAGAAAAAAGCTTCTGCCACAGTTTCATAAATTCTATGAAGGTTTGACAAAGTAGTTGATGTGTAAGGAACTTTAAACCCAGACTATTTTTACTTGTTAACTGTAAAAACTAAAGTCCATTTATCAGTAAAATACAAACAAATGAAAATAAATATTTTCAAAATTTGGTCTGGATACTGTCTTTTGGTCATAAACAAACTTCTGTCAAAATTTCATAATATTCCATGAAGGTTTGACAAATTAATTGATGTCTAAAAAAACTTCCACCACAGACTAAACCTAAATGTTGACAACACCTACGACAGAATCTAGGATTGTACACCTCATTTTTCATTCAACTGGCCAGTAGGACAGTGTAGTCAATTGGTCTCTGTAAACTTTTAAAAAAAATTTAGAGATCATACGTTGTCCGTCAAGATGACTTGTCTTTGAGAAAAATTAGGACAAAAATTTTGGTTTCTTAAAATAATATTGATTTATTGGGAAAACTTCATTTTATTTGTGAATAGCTTTTATAAATATGTACTAAGAAAACCAAAACAATTTCGTGTCCACGGTATTGTTTAATTTCAAATCTAAAGTGAATTTAAGTACGTTTATCACATGCCCCAAAAATGTACCTACCTCGATTGAGCAGTTTATTAAAGTTTTGGTATTCTCATTTTTGTAATATTTTAATATGAATTCTCTTTAAAAGTGCATATCAAAATACATACATAAAAAATTAAGTGTGATTTTGCATATTTAAAAAAAAACCTCTAAAATTGCTACTTTTAAAAGATGTATTAAAGAGGGTGGTAAAGGGTTATTTTCGTGCAACGTGTTTTGCCATTTTTATTTCACGTGCAGCCGTGAAAAAGGTTTGTTATTCACCGTGTTTCGTGAAATTGGTAAAAAGATCAACGTGCAAGAAATTTTTAATTGTTTGTTCATCGTGAAATGGCAATTTTATTTCGCGTTCTTCCGTGCAGATACCCCCTCCTTTAAGCCCCTCATTAAACAGTGTCACCAACCAATACCAAATGTGGTACAAATGTGGCAACAACTTTGATAAAATACTAATATTTGTTTTGTTTCATTTGAAGAGTAATTTTGCACAATATTCTATTTTTCTAATTTTAGTCCTGTAATAATGTTCTATTACTAAGATGTAATCATAAACAAAACTGGTAACAATAGGACATTAGACCTTTCCTTTATTGCTTTGAAAGTTATATCCCTTTCCAATGACGCTGGCCACTACTTAATTTAGCCAAAACTGCAAGCATTGTTTTTATAGGACAATATGTTAAAAGTTCTTTTCATTAAAAACCACTGGGCTAATCTGAAACTAAGTTAACCAGAATACTTCGTACAATATGTCTGTAAATATTCAACGAGAAGCATTTCTAGGAACCAAAAATAATGTTTTCAGATACATAAAACTTATACAGTTAATGTCAAATCAAACAAAAAAATAACCTAAACCTGTATTTGATTGTCCATAAATTATCCTCCAAAAAACACTTAAAATTCTGGTCAAATCAAAAGTGTGAGGAATAGATGAAGAGATTCATTTGTCTCTGTCAAGTGGACGCATAAAATAATGATTTTTTTTATCAAAAACTTTTTCAACACCTAAAGTGGATATCATTTTATAGAAATATACAAACATATAATGGCACAAGTAATTTATGTAGAGTCTCCATCAACAAATATCTATTGTTATATAATGTTACCAAAAGTATCAATAAACAGCAGTGCTTATTATTTCCACCTTTTATAAAAACATATATGACTTTATCACTCTAAAACAATTCATAGCACTTTATCACATAAATTCTATCTAATAATTAATTTCCGTACTTCTTCTATACCATAGTCCTTTCACATTGAGCTGATAATAACACTCACACGAGGCTGTCAGGCAGTTTGGACACGTTTTCTTGAATTTCCTGCTGACAATACATTTTCTAACACTCCTTTCCATATCATATTCACATTCCCTTTCTAATAAGACAAATAATTGGATGCTATACAGTTTGTCTCTGTTCCTCATGAGATCTATGGTGAAATGTAAATGACACAGCTGAGTCCCATGCACCTTTTAACATAATATCAACAAGTCCTTTCTTGTCAGCACAGTGGTACCATTGAGACAGATCAGAGGTACAGTCAGAGTCTTCAGGTGGAGGTCGCACCTGTATATTATTTACACATCTCCTACATTTGATTCTGGAAGAGAAAATAATATTGCAAAACTTTATTGTTATTTAAACAGGCTGAAATTTCTCAACTATTTACTGATTATAATTTAACTTTGTGTTGAAAGTCTTTAAGAAAAGGTTTTGCTACAGGTATCACATTTAACTTAACATTATCAATGATTCATGAAAATGAGGTCAAGGACTTACAAACCCTGCCATTTAGACATGTATACCTAATAATCCTTCCATACACAAAATGTATTTGACCTCCTGAGAATTCTTTATTATTCATGGGATACCAATTTTCGTGAATATTTAGGATATGAGTGAAGTTCAACAAAGTACAAATTGTCTACAGGCTAATATGCAAACTTTGGCAAATTCATGAAATCATATATCAAGGAAAATACAATTTTCCTCAATCCATGAAAACTGGTATCCAAGAAAACAAATGAATCCACAGTATTGCTCATAGTATCCAAGAAAAGGATCTAAACATGAAAACTGAATGCTGACCAATAAGCCATGAAAATGAGTTCAGAGTCAGACGAAAGGAAATCTTCCTCTTTTACATTTCATTTTATTAAGAATTAAAACAGCAAGAATACACAAGTTTATTCAAACAAAATCCTGAGGTAAGAGAAATAACTCTGAAGCAATCATTGTATAGTGAAGCATAGGAATTGTTAAAAAATTATAGATTTGTATAGATGTATCAACCAATATAAGGCAAATTCAAATAAACTATTTTACAAAGGACCTGTCAAACTTCAAAAGGTGTAGATCAACACGATAGTACTAAACTCAATCAAAATGTTTATACCTCACTAGAATTTTTCTTATATCAGTTGAAGGCTTCTCAATCCTGTCAACAGATTAACAGTTACCTTAATAAATGAAAGATGTTTTAAGGATGCAAAAGTAAACCTACTTGTCATGTGTATCGCTGATTGTTTCTTCATTAAGACGGAACAAGTCCTTTAACTCATCTCGACTAAAATGTTTTTCTACATCTTCTTCTTTATCTACAACACAACTGCTTAATGCTTTTTTGTGGGCCTGCCTCTGGAAAATCTTCTCCTCAATTGTCCCAGTCTGTAATTATAAAAAGTTTTTGTATCAATATCTCTACTCTTATTCATATGGAAAAAAAGATAACAAGCAAGTAAATATCGTAAAATCACCAGTTCTTTTTTTTACACTAACAGTATTTTTGTTTTGTCTAAAAAGTGTAGGATAACAGATTAAACTAGACAAAGTGATGCCCCTGCTCTCCACTCTGAAGTAACTGCATTATAGGACTTTCTTTGAGATATAATTGTGTCTTTGAGACACAAATGATGTCCCCGCAGTTGCAAAGTGTTATTCTAAAATACACAAAGTCGAGCATGGGACCACATCGGTCTATGGTTCACTGTAGGAGGAGTTATTTGGAAACGCTATGCACCTCTTATGCAAGTATATACTCCAAAAATGACAAAGTTCAACTATCTCCCAAAACAGCAAATATTAATAAAAATCAAAACCCTGACCATATGCACACCTTCAATATATGTACAAACAGCCAGCAAAGTGAAAACTTCCTAGCATTCAAACTGTTGGAGGAGTTATACGGAAACGCTTGCACCTCTGATGCAAGTAAATACTCCAAAAAATGACAAAGTTCAACTATCTCCCAAAAAAGCAAATATTAATAAAAATCAAAACCCTGACCACATGCACACCTTCTATATATGTACAAACAGCCAGCAAAGTGAAAACTTCCTAGCATTCAAACTGTTGGAGGAGTTATCCGGAAACGCTTGCACCTCTGATGCAAGTAAATACTCCAAAAAATGACAAAGTTCAACTATCTCCCAAAAAAGCAAATATTAATAAAAATCAAAACCCTGACCACATGCACACCTTCAATATATGTACAAACAGATAGCAAAGTAAACACTTCCTAGCATTCAAACTGTAGGAGGAGTTCTGTGGAATAACTATATACCCATAATGGGACAGATGGACGGACGGACAAGGGTAAAACAATATGCCCCCCAACTTTTTGTTAGTTGCGGGGGCATAATAAGAACAAAGTTACCTGCATGAGTGGGCTCTTGTAACACACAAAGAACTTATATTGTATTATAGCCTTTTGAAAAAAGAGACTGACAAGGCCATTTGTCGCTCTGAAATATTTGTCAATACAATCTATTCCTTCAAATTCAATTGTTATCATATTTCATCAGTATTGTTGCACAAACCTTTACATTTTTATATTTTTTCCTGTTTTCTTAACAATCTGGTACTTATCAAATTTGCTGGTTTATTGTTTTCTATACTCTTTTTTTTGTGTACATGTATATGTTAAATATATGTATTATACTAACAGCAATCAATCTGTATATATAACACTGTTTTTTCTGTCCATCTCTCCAACATCTTGCCATAGCCTGATCATCATTAGCAGGGTTCCAGTCTGGATCAAACATCACCAGTCTATTAGCACCAATTAAATTTAAACCACAACCACCTGCTTTACTACTTAACATAAATATATATTCTGGGCTCTGTAAAAAACAAAAAGATCACAAAATCACATAAAAAGACATGACAGTAGCCAAAGAATAAATTTTGACATGAAAATTACTCGTAAAAAATTTATTTACAAATCTAAAATTTACATTCTATATATGCTTTAACAAGCTCATAATATAAACAAGACTGCACACGCTAAAATGTCTTGCCTGCTTTTCTCATACTGATTGAATTTATGTTGAAAGTCTGTAAATATGATGGTTTTACTAAGTATCTCATAAAAAAAAACACTTAACATTATCAATGATCCATGTAAATGAGTTCATGGTCAAATGAGTATTTCACATGACAAAAACTCTTACATTTCTTTTGATGATATTTTTTAGTAATTGTTTTTTCAACAAGTCATATTTTTTTCTTTATTGAACATGTGTAAGCTATTTTTCTTACAATGTATTAAGTGGTTGAATTATCTAACATGTAAAATTTACAGATGCTCCACACTCATGAGCATAATAGAAACAGTGAAACTGTCAATAAATATAAATATGAATTTTCACTTAGTGCTATTCCAGAATAAATGTATGGTAAGGTTGGAAGTCACATATGTTTTTGTTAATAGGGGTAAAACAAATACAAATTAAGTTACAAATGAAAATACAAATTATGGTTGGAGTAAAAATACAAATTATGGTTGGTGAAATTACAAATTATGGTTGATGTAAAAAAGTGTTGTCCAACTCCAAAGGGGCCTTCCATTTTATCAAGGAATAGTCCTGAATTTTATCAATGATTTTTGTAACCAACTTAATTATAAAATTGAACATAAGTACTTACTGTTGGGTTGTTAAATTTCTCCACAATTTTCGCTCTCTTCTTAATTGACATTGTACCATCTAGCCTTACAAACAAATACCTATGAAAGCAAAATGTTTCATATACACCATAAACTATAAAATCTGTAAGATCATACAAAAAATTCTGTGAAAGTAAAAATAATCTTTAATGACAAACTAATTACAATGTACTGTATATGTCCAATGGCAAATATTTGATCAATTTGTGTGATGATAACAAGTAATAAATAAAAAAAATTCTAACATCTATAAAAGTTTTGATGTATATCCTATATCGTCATTTGTAAAATTTGTTTCTGCTGCCATATTAGGGCAGTTTAGCACCAAAGTCAATTCTTTGAATAATATTCATCATCTCTTTTCTGTTTCCATTTAACTTGTGATGCAGTTATCAAAAAGCAAGTTTTCATTGATTTCATTTGAGTGTCATTAGGTTATGCTTGACAGAAATCTTGCACTACATCTTAAACTTACCCTCTCTGTCTAAACAACTTCTCACACAGATCTAAGGTTTGTGTATAGTTAGACACTAACACCACTTTATCACTTGTTGTGGTCTTTATTAATGCTAACATGCAATCTAGAACCAGAAATTTACCTGAAAAAAGCAAAAGTTGTCATTGAAATACTTATGGCAAAAAAAGATATGCAGACAGCTATCTCTATATATGTAATCACATTTCAGGTATTTAAAGATTTAAGAGTAACAAGAATGTGTCAATAGTACACGGATGCCCCACTCGCACTATCATTTTCTATATTCAGTGGACCGTGTAATTGGGGTCAAAACTCTAATTTGGCCTTAAAATTAGAAAGATCATATCATAGGGAACATGTGTACTAAGTTTCAAGTTGATTGGACTTCAACTTCATCAAAAACTACCTTGACCAAAAACTTTACCCTGAAGCGGGACAGACGAACGGACGGACGAACAGCCACAAGAACTGACAAACTGATGCACAGACCGAAAAACATAATATCCCTAGATGGGGCATAAAAATGACCAGTTGATCCAGACCAACAGATTATTCCAGCTAAACAGTGCTTCACTTATTGTGTACTGAAGCCCTAGCTGACTCATTAAATCAAAATGAGGTTTGGGAGATTTTTTATTATATACTTATGTTGTTACAATATTTTCTCATAAACTAAAGAACCTTAATTTCAAAGAGGCAAATGAACTGGAGGGAAATTTGTTATGTTATGTTATGTTATGTTATGTTATGTTATGTTATGTTATGTTATGTTATGTTATGTTATGTTATGTTATGTTATGTTATGTTATGTTATGTTATGTTATGTTATGTGTCATGTCATGTCATGTTATTGACTTACCAGATAATTCAGGTTTAACAGTCTTCAAATTATGTCCAGCAGGGAAAACATCCAACGTCCCTTCAAACCCTTCAGCTTCTTGTAAACATTTATCATATATCAAGTCAGGGTCTGAAAAAAAAGTGAGGATTTATTTCTTTCAAAATAGAATATGAAGTAATTCTGTTTGATATTGTAGAAATGTGTGACGAAAGTGTTAAGTTCATTCAACATACTGAAAAATTTTAAGCATGGGCAAACAGATCATAAAAGTGCTTAGAGTTACAACTCACTACTGTCAAGCTACTGACCAAATATAATATCCTTCTGTTCAGTTATACCTGAGAAAAATGTTAAGAATATATTTGTTGGACAGATGAATGGACAAAGTGATTTCAATATAGCCCCTACTTCTAGAGTGGGGGTAAAATAAAGTTATTGATAACTAAAAGTTGGACAGTTGAAAAGAAATTTTTACTGGTGATATATTATAAGGCCAGGAAAATAGATTTTCGAGACCATAAAATTTTAGAGGTGACAAAAATCTTTTAACAGCAGTACTCTATCTATATATTCAAATAAATCCCTTCTTAAACTTCTTAATTTGAATCATTACACTAGATTTGTCTGTAGGACACAAATGCCCTTGACTGAAGCCAAAACTTTGAATGTACATTTCTTGGAAATCATAAGAAAAATGAAATGTACTAGGGACATACACTGGCAAGATTATGATCATAGATATATCATTTGGTTAATATGGACAAACTCATTAAGATATTATGTGTTAATTAAATGGGAAAAGTCAATCAACCAGAAAGACAAATGTTGATCACCAGAAATAAATTTCAAACTTAAATTCTGCCAAAAGTTGGTTAACTTGAACAAAACCCAAACACAACCTCTAAGTCATCACAATACACAAATCTACCAAAAATCACAGCTAGATCTGCAGGCCATACCAAAATAAAACTAAAACAAGTACCATTTTCACAAAATTTTTAAGTTCAAAGGCTATAATTTCGGCTAGTAAATAGGTATGAAACACAAAACTAATTTGTAAGTCATAATATACTCTAACGTACCAAAAATCAGATAAATTCTAACTGCATATCAAAACAAAGTTTGGACTCTTTACTTCCATTGAGGATTTGATGAACTTTATCTTCTAATTTTCAATGAGGGGTGAGGGATTGGGAGTTATTAATCTACAGAACAGTGTTGTATGTAATTTTTATTAAATTCATTATAGAAATTCTGATACTGTGAATTCACTATTATTCGTTGGATACCAAGTTACAAGGATTTCATGGGTAAATTGGAACCATGAATTAAAATGTTCATCGAATTACAAATTTTGTATAGACTTGCAGACTTTTGCAAAACTACGAAATCAAATATCCACGAAAATGCAAGTTTTCCTCAATCCATGAAAATTGGTAGCCACGAAAATAAAAGAATCCACAGTATTTTTTTGTATTTAATGCATAAGTAAGAAATCACATTCAAGTAATTATATAACTAAGAGTAGAATTATTTTGAAGCTTTGCAATTCGAAATGGTAAGAAGATCCTATCCAAACAGATAATTTAACTGCAAAATCATAACTCCTTTTTTGCTATACTTAGAACAGCATTATAATTTTATAACGCATGTCTGTCAGTGAGCAATGAGAATTAGTTAACTGAGAGTAATATTGTTTTGCATTGTTCACTGACATCAAATTTTCTGACTTGAAATACAGTCAAACCTGTAAACAGAAGTCATCATAGGGACTAGAGTAAACTGATCCTTTAAGAGAAGTGAACTTTGAATTTAGATTCAAAATGAAAAGGTATTGCTACAGCAGGAAAAGGGTGACCTAAAAAGACAGGTTTTCACTTAATAGAGTTGACCTTTATATTAGGTTTGACTTAATAATTCTTAAATTGAGAAACTACAAACATGATCTTTGCAATACATCTGGAATTATAACAAGTTTGATGTAAATAATTTCAACGTCTTTTTTCTTACATTTCAGAGGAAGGATACTTACGATTACACAATTTTTTGAGCTGTGTAATAAATGACAAACTGCTTCCTGTTACTTTGTCTCCATCCACTTGTATATCAGAGGATTTGGATCTGACCAACATTTTATATAGTTCTGACTGGAGGGGTGTCAGATTACAGCATACTATCTGTTCAACTGTAATAATCATGTATTTACTCAAAAATAATTACTAGTAAAACAATAATACACTTTAATAAAACTGTATTGCTATGTTTTATTGTGCTGTTTCCTCAATGGCATTTAATCCTTTTTTCCTTTTTATATAAATTTATCTGAGCAGAGAAGTTTTTCTTCCTAAAACAATCATTGTGGATATTTTGTTTCAATGTTTTTCAGCAAATAGTTAAATGGATATGACAGCATTTTATCTTTTATATAAGCAATATAAAAATCATTTCGTTAAAAAGACTAGTCATAAATTATCTGTCATGTAGCAGGATGTTGGTTTTCTTGTTTTGCACTTTTTTAAGTCAAGCCTTTTATAATTTACTATACCATTTGAGTTTTGCTCATTGTTAAAGGATGTACAGTGAACTATAGTTGCTTACATACATGTCATTTATACTCTAGTGGATAGTTGTCTCATTGGCAATCATACCACATCTCTTTATTTTTATAGTTACATCATTTCTACAGCAGTTCCAAGTTATATAAAAGAAATCTATTCTATTTAGTGCAAAATGACACAGAAAAACAGATATAAAAAGTAAAATATTAATCTACAGAACAGCGCTGTGTGTAATTGACTCACTCATTTTTAAGAAACTTACTTTTCACAGGTAAATATCTGGTTAGTAAAACCTGTGTTCTTCTAATGATGCATTTATTTACTATTGATGCCAACTAAAAAATGAAATACAAATGAAACTTAAGAGAGATTACAATTTCTACCTTGAAAGATGTCAGACAAATTGCTTCATCACTTGATTGACAATCAATTTCTAAAAACTTTAGCTTTATTTAGAAATAGGCTTAAGGTATTTGACTTGTCAATGAATACTTATCTCTTCTTCAATACTAATAAGTGCTTTATGAAGAAAACTATATCAAAATCAGGGCTTTAAAAAACGGTCGTATTTTCCCGACAAGTCAGATAGATTATATAAATGACTAGTTGTGCCGAGGCTGAAACGGACATTTAAATATAGTTCAGAAAAAAAATTGAAGTTTATGCGATCTTTTTGACCTGACCTTTTGCCTTAAACAGCCACACATTTCCAGTCATGTAAGTGACATGATGAATAATTACTATCAAAACAAACCCTACTATAAAACCCTCTCATTACAATCGAAGTTAATAAGTTCTCTGACAGCTGATTTTACCTGTTCAGGCGACAGGTAAACTATTTTGTACCGGACATTGATCGGTCTATTAATAGTTATTTTCTTAAATTTCAGCAGTTTGCGTCTAATTAATTTAGTCAACAAGATTCAGATTACCAGAAAACGTATATTAATATCATTTGATAAAATTTAAAAAGATAGTAATAAAGGTTTAAAAAAAAAATCGTCAGAGCCACGTTGTTTGAACTAGTACACTCGTGCGCATGTGCACAGGTGTGAGATTAACTTATGCATCCGAATTTTCAAAAATGCTAAAAATATCATTGACACCTTTATCTAACGTTCATTTCGAGTCTTTTCCTGTAAAAATAACACGGAAAGAGCTACTTAAACTCAATCGTGCTTTGTAAACGTACACAGATTTTACGTATCTGTCTCTGGTCCATGTTTTAACAAGTCAACATCCGGTAATAGGAAAAGTACTTTTCAAAAACGAAAGTGAAGTTATTGACAGCATAATTTTGCACAATTAAAGAGCCTTAGGCAGATATTAGTACATTGATTTTGCACACTTCGAATGGTGCACTGTCAATTTAACAATCATAATTTATATGATGCCCAATGATTACTATGGTTGCCTTTTATTTCTAAGTCTTAAGGCATTAAAATCGGGATAAGACAAAAAATAAAATGCTTCGCTGGGCGCAGCTTGAAACGACCGCAGAGGTCGAACCCTGAACAGTTGGGGCAAGTATGGACACAACATTCAAGCTTGATACAGCTCTGAATTTGGATTGTGATTAAATATTTGACACACCATAGGTTTCTGACACAGAAAGAATGTGGTCTAAGAACTTGAATTTTTTCAATTTACCTATTATGGTCCAATGTCCAAAACCAAAATACATGGTTAGATTCAGCATATCAAAGAACCCCATATATTCAATTTTTGTTGAAATCAAACAAAGTTTAATTTTGGACCCCAACTTGGACAAACTTGAAAACTGGGCCCATAATCAAAAATCTAAACACATGTTTAGATTCAGCATATCAAAGAACCCCAAGAATTCAATTTTTGTTAAAATCAAACTAAGTTTAATTTTGGACCCTTTGGACCTTAATGTAGACCAATTTAAAAAAAGGGACCCAAAATTAAAAATCTAAAAACACGGTTAGATTTGGCATATCAAAGAACCCCAATAATTCAATTTTTGATGAAATCAAACAAAGTTTAATTTTGGACCCCTTTGACCTCAATATGAACCAATTTGATAGCGGGCCCACAAATAAAAAATCTAAATACATGGTTAGATTCAGCATATCAAAGAACCCCATATATTCAATTTTTGTTGAAATCAAACAAAGTTTAATTTTGGACCCCAATTAGGACCAACTTGAAAACTGGGCCAAAAATCAAAATCTAAATACATGTTTAGATTCAGCATATCAAAGAACCCCATATACTCAATTTTTGTTAAAATCAAACAAAGTTTAATTTGAACCCTTTGGACCTTAATGTAGACCAATTTGAAAACTGGACCCAAAATTAAAAATCTAAATACACGGTTAGATTCGGCATAACAAATAAATAAATGGTCAAAGATTTTACAAATCTAATGCGCCATACTGTGAAATTAAAGATTACTTCTTGAAATTTTTCAATATTTGAAATTTGAAATAAAAATAATATTTGAAGAATAATTCTTTTTAATTTCTGAAATCTGAAATGAGAAAAAATTGACCCCCCACAATTTCTTTTTACCACCCCCCCCCCCCCCCTCCCCTTTTTCCCCCCAAAAAATTCTTTCCCTCAAGATATGGTCATAATCTCAATTCAAATTTCCAATGGAGTTTGCAACCATAATTACCCATTTAAATTTACCATAGTGCTAACTTAATCTATTTTATAATAGAATTTAAAATATAGTGTCAAATCTTTCATATGGATTTTTTTGTAAAAAAAAAAGATGCAACATTTGCAGAAATTTTTACTGATCTTCCTTGATAAATATGCATTTCTTTAAACATAATTTAAAAGCAGTGTAAGGGAAGTAACCAAAACGTTGTATTTGGATTACCTCCCTTACACTGTTTTAAATTATCTTAATTGTTCATTAACCATTACTTTATACATAATTTAAAAGCAGTGTAAGGGAGATAATTTCAATGATGTATTTGATTTATCTCCCTTACACTGCTTTAAATTATGTTTTGTACTAAAGTATTTGTCCATAAACCAGGACAACCTTCTTTTTCCCCCTTTTTTGCCCCTAATTCCTAAACGGTTTGAGCCATAACCCCCCAAAGCAAATCCTAACCATCCCTGTGTGGTATGGAAACTTGTAGTGTAATTTCAGAGAGATCCATACACCGTTCCACAGTTATTGTCTGGAAACTAGAAAATGCTTATCTTTGGCCCCTTATTCCTTAACTGTTGGTACCATAACCCCCAAAATCAATCCCCACCTTCCTTTTGTGGTATTGAACCTTATGGTAAAATTTCAAAGAGATCCATTCACTTAAACTAAAGTTAGAGTGCGAAAACCAATGTGTCTTCGGACAACGACGACGACGTCATACCAATATATGAATTTTTTTGCGGTCGTATAAAAACAAGAGGCTCTCAAGAGCCTGAATTGCTCACCTGTATTTCAGAGGAGAAGATTTTTAAATGTTAGCAAACTTGAACAAATTGTGTAAAATTGTCTTTAAAGGGCAATAACTCCTTAAGGGGTCAATTGACAATTTTGGTCATATTAACTTTTTTGTAGATCTTACTTTGCTGAACATTATTGCTGCTTACAGTTTATATATATCTATAATGATATTCAAAATAATAACAAAAAACTGCAAAATTTTGTTAAAACTACCAATTTGGTGGCAGCAACCCAACAATCGGTTGTTCGATTCGTCTGATAATTTCAGGGCCGATAGATCTTGACCAATTAAACAATTTTACCCCATGTCAGATTTGCTCTAAAAGATTTAGTTTTTGAGATATAAGCCAAAAACTGCATTTGACCCTTATGTTCTACTTTTAGCCATCACGGCCATGTTTGTCGATGGATACAAACTTCGGATAAAATTTATAAACAAGATACCCTAAGGAACATTTATTTAAATTTTGAAGGTAATTGGCCAAGTAGTTTCAGAGGAGAAGATTTTTAAATGTTAGCAAACTTGATGAACAAATTGTGTAAAATTGTCTTTAAAGGGCAATAACTCCTTAAGGGGTCAATTGACAATTATGGTCATATTAACTTTTTTGTAGATCTTACTTTGCTGAACATTATTGCTGCTTACAGTTTATATATATCTATAATAATATTCAAAATAATAACAAAAAACTGCAAAATTTTGTTAAAACTACCAATTTGGTGGCAGAAACCCAACAATGGGTTGTTCGATTCGTCTGAAAATTTCAGAGCTGATAGATCTTGACCTATTGAACAATTTTACCCAATGTCAGATTTGCTCTAAAAGATTTAGTTTTTGAGATATAAGCCAAAAACTGCATTTGACCCCTATGTTCTATTTTTAGCCATGGCAGCCATGTTTGTCGATGGATCAAAACTTCGGATACAATTTATAAACTAGATACCCTAAGGAACATTTAGTTAATGTTTGAAGGTATTTGGCCTAGTAGTTTCAGAGGACAAGATTTTTGAAATAGTTTACGACGACGACAACGGACGCCAAGTGGTGGTGAGCTAAAAATGTCCAGCTGGCTCAAATATTTTTTGGAAGCCCCGATCAAAATACAAATAGCATAGGTAACTTATAATTCCAAGGTTCATCTCATTCTACAATATATTTTCTATTGATGCTGACCTACCAGAGATCATGAAATCTGTCTTATTACCTCTTGTAGCCTTTCTTGTCCTTTCTTATGTTCAGCATCAGTTGAGCTTGCATCTCTTCCTCTTAATATTGGTGTTTCAAACTTCCTTTTGAATTCCTGTGCTGTACCTAAGTAAATTATTATTAAACAAAGTTTATTACTACTTGATACAATTCTATCACAAATTTCTTATTTCAGATACATGTGAAACTTCCAACTTTTGTTCAAGAGGTATCTTAGAAAATCATTAGATTGTTTTTTAAATACTGTGGATTCATTTATTTTCCTGGATACCAATTTTCGTGGCTTTGAGGAACTATTGTATTTTGATGGATATTTAATTTCAAAGTCTGCATACAAGTATATAGGAAATTTGTACCTCTTTGAACATTTGAATTTGTTGTTTCTCTATACATACAAAATCCATAAAAGTCGATATCCCACGAATAATAATGAATTTACATAATATGTTGATACCTCTCTTCTATATCTGTAATTGACACATTATTTAAAAAAAAAGTAGAATACTAAAATGTCTGACATGAATTAGATTAACACTTATATTTATCAAACTTCAGAAAGAGTATTTATAATTTGGTTGCAGAACAATGTCAATTTATTACACAATTTTGTCATCTAATATTTAGAATACTTTTAGCTATGAACATTAGCAGCAATATCTTTATGAAACTTTATTGATTCATGTGAGAAAAAAAATCATCATATATTGAGATTCTTTATATGCATTACAATAAACCAAATTGTATCTTACCAACTTGTTTCCCTTTATTGTTGTTCCCAAAATTTCTGAAAATGTAAATACTTATTTACCTAAAATTCCACCATTTACAAAATGTACAAGACTAAAGTATTCTAACAGATCATTTTGTATAGGTGTTCCAGATAGTAAAACTCTTCTCTTGGCTTTCAATCCATTTAATGCTTGGTATGTCTGATTTTCTGAATTTTTTAACCTGTGACCCTGAAGAAAATGAAACGAGACTAGATTTTTTAAACTGTTTTTCATTTGTTAAATGATGTCAATGACATTTTGATCTTCATTACAAAGGAAAAGGTATATTTTAAGACTGAATCTGTAAATCAGAGTAAATTAAAAATTGTATACCATTCAAAATCACATTGTTCAAAATTGAAAGCAAGGCTATCTGAAAATATAAACTGTGACTTCATGATGTAATTTGACTGTAACATCATGTAAATGATGTAATAATGAAGATTTGCCAAGTTTGAGCTTCAATAGGTAAATGTCAGTTGTTTTTTTTACTAAATGAGGCAAAGTAAAATTAATTACCTGTACCCCTATTTTTGACATTTTTACCTATTATGTCAGTTTGTTTTGTTCACACATTGTTGTCAATATAATGGAATTTTATGCGACTGTTATACAAGTGAGAGGTTTAGCTAGCTATAAAACCAGGTTTAATCCACCATTTTCTACATAAGAAAATGCTGTACCAAGTCAGGAATATGACAGTTGTTATCCATTCGTTTGATATGTTTGAGCTTTTGATTTTGCCATTTGATGAGGGACTTTCCATTTTGAATTTTTCTCTGAGTTCGGTATTTTTGTTATTTTACTTTTTAGAATGCCTAACTAACAAATTCAGAATTTTGTTGATTTATAAAGGGCATAACTTGAGAACAGTGAAAGTGAGGCCACCCAAATTCTAACTTGATCTGTCTTTGGTGGTAATAATCACTGTGTATAAGTTTCATAACATTTGGTTGAGGCAAACTAAGAGAATGGAAACCAATTTTTTAGACGTACAAGTGTAAAACCCAGTCACCTAGAGACGGGAGCATAAAAATAGCCATTCTTTCTTGAACTACATAGATTGAATCTTTGATTCATACCTTAAGAAATTTGTACTTAGTTGAACATTTAAATTCGTGGTTTACCTATACCTATGAAATCCACTAAAATTGATATTCCACAAATACTAACGAGTCCACAGTAATCACTATAGGATCCTTACCTAATCACATATAACCAGCCCTACTGAACCTTTATCCATTACATGAGCATTTAATCTAAATGTCTAGTATTATATAATTATTATAGGATTCTCACCTCATCACATATAACCAGCCCTACTGAACTTTTATGCATCACATGAGTATGTAATCTAAATGTCTCATATGATATAATTACTACAGGATCCTTACCTCATCACATATAACCAGCCCTACTGAACCTTTATGCATCACATGAGAATGTAATCCAAATGTCTCATATGATATAATCACTATAGGATCCTTACCTCATCACATATAACAAGCCCTACTGAACCTTTATCCATTAAATGAGCATTTAATCTAAATGTCTAGTATTATATATTCACTATAGGATCCTTACCTGATCACATATAACAAGCCCTACTGAACCTTTATCCATTACATGAGCATTTAATCTAAATGTCTAGTATTATATATTCACTATAGGATCCTTACCTAATCACATATAACAAGCCCTACTGAACCTTTATCCATTAAATGAGCATTTAATCTAAATGTCTAGTATTATATATTCACTATAGGATCCTTACCTAATCACATATAACAAGCCCTACTGAACCTTTATCCATTACATGAGCATTTAATCTAAATGTCTAGTATTATATATTCACTATAGAATCCTTACCTAATCACATATAACCAGCCCTACTGAACCTTTATGCATCACATGAGCATTTAATCTAAATGTCTAGTATTATATATTCACTATAGGATCCTTACCTAATCACATATAACAAGCCCTACTGAACCTTTATACATTACATGAGCATTTAATCTAAATTTCTAGTATTATATATTCACTATAGGATCCTTACCTAATCACATATAACCAGCCCTACTGAACCTTCTATTACACAAGCATTTAATCTAAATGTCTAGTATTATATATTCACTATAGGATCCTTACCTAATCACATATAACAAGCCCTACTGAACCTTTATCCATTACATGAGCATTCAATCTAAATGTCTAGTATTATATAATCACTATAGGATCCTTACTTAATCACATATAGCAAGCCCTACTGAACCTTTATCCATTACATGGGCATTTAATCTAAATGTCTAGTATTATATATTCACTTTAGGATCCTTACATCATCACATATAACCAGTCCTATTGAACCTTTATCCATTACATGAGCATTTAATCTAAATGTCTCATTTGATATAATTACTATAGGATCCTTACCTCATCACATATAACCAGCCCTACTGAACCTTTATGCATCACATGAGCATGTAATCTAAATGTCTCATATGATATAATTACTATAGGATCCTTACCTCATCACATATAACCAGCCCTACTGAACCTTTATGCATCACATGAGCATGTAATCTAAATGTCTCATATGATATAATTACTATAGGATCCTTACCTCATCACATATAACCAGCCCTACTGAACCTTTATGCATCACATGAGCATGTAATCTAAATGTCTCATTTGATATAATTACTATAGGATTCTCACCTCATCACATATAACCAGCCCTACTGAACCTTTATGCATCACATGAGCATGTAATCTAAATGTCTCATATGATATAATTACTATAGGATCCTAACCTCATCACATATAACCAGCCCTACTGAACCTTTATGCATCACATGAGCATGTAATCTAAATGTCTCATTTGATATAATTACTATAGGATTCTCACCTCATCACATATAACCAGCCCTCCTGAACCTTTATGCATCACATGAGCATGTAATCTAAATGTCTCATATGATATAATTACTATACGATCCTTACCTCATCACATATAACCAGCCCTACTGAACCTTTATGCATCACATGAGCATGTAATCTGAATGTCTCATTTGATATAATTACTATAGGATCCTTATCTCATCACATATAACCAGCCCTACTGAACCTTTATGCATCACATGAGCATGTAATCTAAATGTCTCATATGATATAATTACTATAGGATCCTTACCTCATCACATATAACCAGCCCTACTGAACCTTTATGCATCACATGAGCATGTAATCTGAATGTCTCATATGATATAATTACTATAGGATGCTTACCTCATCACATATAACCAGCCCTACTGAACCTTTATGCATCACATGAGCATGTAATCTAAATGTCTCATATGATATAATTACTATAGGATCCTTACCTCATCACATATAACCAGCCCTACTGAACCTTTATGCATCACATGAGCATGTAATCTAAATGTCTCATATGATATAATTAAAATAGGATTAGGATTTCTTCTTCCTTGCTGCTGCATAAACTGATCTGTTAAATAAAATAAAATTGTCATTAGTTTCATCATCGTTGTTGAGATATAATTGTAATAAACTAAATAAAAATTATCTCAGTTTGTACATGTACCCACATTTTTAGTTAGCAAAGATGAGTGGAACTTTTACACTTTCTTTGATTTTCATATGCATGTACACATGCAAGTCAGGCCAGTGTTTCATGCATTGAGTGGTTAATTGGAGAAAATCCCATTGCAACCTTATGGTGACCTATAGTTGCTAACTTCTACGTCATTTGGTCTCTGTCGGAGAGTTGTCTCATTGGCAATCATACCACAACTTCTTTTTTATCTAATTTGACCATATTTCAATGTTAAATCAATTGAAAAATGAAATAATAAAGCAAACATATTGTAATAGGATCTACACTTCTTACACATTTTTTTAGTTTACTTAAGGTGGTACCTAACACTACAGGGAGATAACTCTGTAAAAATCAGCTAAACGTTTTAATTACGTTGTATTGTTAAGGAAATATTAAGCTTCTCAATGATCAAAATTAGTGTTTGTCAAACTGCTATATAACCAATGAAATTTTTCTGATAAAGTGGTTGGTTCAAATTTTTTGAAATTTTTATATTTTTGTCAAAGGGTCAAAGTAAACATTTTGTCAAAATTTTATGAAAATTAAACGAGCCAAATTAATATTAGTCAAGGTGTTGGGTACCACCTTAAAAACCTCCAATACAAAGTTCTCTGAGATAAAAGACCTAACAATAAAAACCTGATGTTTTCTTATTTCCAAACTTGTACAAATTCTTTCAAAATTGATAATGTTAACATAAAGTTGCACTACTCTGAACTTTTCTTACTTAGATTTCTGTCTATTTCCTGTTTGGTACCAGAATCAATGGCCAGTGGATTTATCTTCTGTCCTAACCATTTAAATATCTCATTATACCAATTCTGAAATATAAAAATTCATATTTCTAAATATATTTTCTAAAATGTCAATTTATCTATCAAGCATGCAATTCAAAAATGGAAATGCATATAAATATGAAAACAAATTTTACCCAACAGTTTAAGGTTATATTCCCTCTCCAAGTACCCTAGGTTTAGAGATAATTATGTCAACTATATGTTGTAGTGTTTACATGGTGACCATGACAGTGAAGAAATCAAAATGTAAGATTGGACATTGGCCGTTTGCTTTTAAAAAATACAGCTCTTAGAAGCCCTTACTTATCTAACTTATATCTATGGAGCACTGATAGAAACTATTGACCAAGCTGGACCAGCAAATCATCAAATTAATATATATGAACTATTTTTGATGAAGGATGTAATATCCCTATAAAATACAAAACTGAAAAGGATCTTGTTTCTGAAAGATGCTTCCATGATACACCAATTCCTACCTTGCATAACCAACATTGTCTTAGCTTCTACCTATACACCTACCAAAATTCATACAAAACCAACAAAAATTCAGTGTCTTAGCTTCTACCTATCCACCTACCCAAATTCATACTAAAACCAACAAAAATATAGTGTCCTAGATGATTTCTGAACCAGAGTACTATATATTATAGTTTTCATGGTTCACTTCAATGCTCCTTATCTACATATAATATTGTTCAAATAGTTTACATTTGATTTCATTCTTTAACCGAATACGATATGAAAGTGGAAATAAAAGAACCTGGATTATTTCTATTTGAAGTAAATATTCCAAACAAAGTTAAATATATAATGTTTTTACCTTTACTAAACTACTAGGTGCTACAACCACTGCCTTGTCTATATGTGGACAACAATCTGGACTTTGTTTCTGTAATGAAAAATAAGATAAAAATCTCTAAAGATAATAAAGAGCATTAAAAGAACAGCTTTTTAAAATCACAAATATTTGTATTCCCCACTTTCTGAAACGACATTATTCATGAATCAAGTGGAAAATTAACATTCATAAATTCATTTGAGTTATTATTAAATAAAAGGAACATCCGTAGAGCACTTACAAGGTCTTTTTTTCATTTTCTAATTGAACTTACCAAAAATGTCAATATCTATTTAATGTTACATATTGTACATACCAATAATGTCCACATTAATGTTATACATTGTAATGTCTTCCCCAGTCCCTGAAATAAAAAATAAACAGATTTTTATATTTGACATGTTTACCATAATATTGGTTTTCTTGACCAGTACCACAATAACAAATAAATTCCTAACTTTATACTATTCTTGACCAGTAACACAATAGCAATTTAATTCCTAACTTTATACTATTCTTGACCAGTACCACAATAACAAATTAATTCCTAACTTTATACTATTCTTGACCAGTACCACAATAACAAATTAATTCCTAACTTTATACTATTCTTGACCAGTACCACAATAACAAATTAATTCCTAACTTTATACTATTCTTAAATTATAAAACTGAATTTCATTGTATTCAACAATATCTCATATTCTATAAATTAACTTGAAACTAGAATGCACATATTGTCCTGCTAAACATATTACTAACTCGTAATTAAGAATATATCAGAAAACAGAGAGCGATTGTCTGACTCATCCAAAAAGGACTCTCACATTAAAACTCATCACTGCCTAAATATGAACCCATTCTTTTCAGTAGTACTTGAGAAATTTGGGATGAAAAATTAAAGTTCATTCAAAAAAAAAATGTTGAAAATTCAAAGTATATGTAAACATAAAGGTGTCTGACAGATCCGAAATGTACTTACTTTACAACTCATCTTTGTCAAGCTGCTGATTACATAAAAGTCATTCTGTCCAGTAGTACTTGAGAAAAGTGTGACGAAAAATTTGAAGTTTTAAGTTCATTCAACATATTGAAAAATTCCAAGTATCACCATACAGGAAATAAGTGTCTGACAGATCATATAAGTGCTCACATGTTACAACCCATCACTGTCAAGCTGCTGATTAAACACGAAGCCATTCTGTTTAGTATTTTTAAGAAAAGTGTGACAAAAGTATTTGGTGGATGCCCGGTTAAGGTGATTTTATATTTATATTATATTGCTTACCATTTCATCAGCCATGATACAGCCATAACTGTTCTCTATTTGTTCTCCTGTCACACAGTCATACATAAACTTAACACCCTGCAAGATCATTTACCGTTAGATTTACATATTTCATTCTTTGATATATTTTCTGAAGGTATCACAAGATATCAATGCTTTTGAACTTTGAACAACCTTTTATATTTGTAACATATCAGACTATAATGTTAGAGAAGTTGCAAAGATAAAATTTGAGACAATATATGGAAATCTTATTAGGAATTAAGTTTGTATGTTAAGAAAATAAATCTATATTATGTACTGGTATGTATTTCAGACACAAAAATAAGCTACTATTAAGGCTCCTGATTTACTACATATGTGTGCGTTTAAATCATTTTTATCCAGAAAATAAGAAATTCTACAAATAGGTTGCAAATATCAACATAATTACAATTTTCAGTGGAAATAATAAAGTGGTTTGTATCCTTGTCTAATCTAACAATAGTCAGGCAATGCCTATAAAACCTCAGTAATGAGTTTTTGAAACTGGTCATCATGCTTCATGCAAATTTGTTATATATATTTGTAATGCCTTTATGTAAATTATTAATATTTTTCAAACTGATATTTTCAAATATTTTTGTTTAAAGCATTAATATAAGATTAATTGATAGTTTAATACTGACTGTAAATTCAGAAATTATTGCATGCATTCATTATTGTGATTTTTTCATTTCAGACAAAAATGCGATTATTATTTTTGCGATACTGAGAAAAATCCCCATCCATTCATACAAAAAAAATCCAAAATGCGAGTTTAAATTATTGTGATTACAACCCTGTCGCATTTTTCGCAATAATAAAATCCTGGCAATAATTTCCAAATTTACAGTATCCAGAAGGTAACAAACATTTCATGCATAATCATAGCTATAGCCCATCTAAATAGTTCTGCAAAGTAGGCCCGGACCACCACCTTGAATTTCAACAAATTTGGACTGCCATTGCAAAATAGGTATTAAGGATAGGGCTAGAAATATAAATACAAAATACTCTCTGTAGATTTTTCGCTACCAACATTATGTATAGATATTAAACACTAGATATGATTCATAAACTGTTATCACAGAGATATGTCTCGCCTTTTTGTAATTTTGATAATGCAAATGTTGAAATTAAAAGAGCAATACTTTAACATGTCAGTTATGCAAATATTCAAAGTCGATGAACCATGACGGAAGGTACATGGCTAAACAATCTCCATTGAATGAGATGTGCCAATGCTAATACAACTGCATACCAAATACCATTGACTTATTATAAGTCGTTCCCTTTAAACAAACCTAAACACAAACATTAACTTGTAAACTATGTAAAAGTTTCAAAGTCAATGAACCATGATCAGGGGTGGGGCTATATAATCTCCATGGAAATGATACTTGCAAATGCCAATACATTTGCATACCAAATATCATTGACTTAACATTAGCAGTTCATCTTAAACTGATCTAATCACAAACTAATACATGTAAACTAAGCAAAAGTTTCAAAGTCAATAGACCATGACTGAGGGGGCGGGGCCAAATATTCTCCATGGAAATGAGATGTGCTAATGCTTATACAACTGAACACCAATTAACATTGGCCTACCACTAATGGTTCCCCTTGAACTGACCAAATCACAAACTAATACATGTTAACTTAGCAAAATTTTCAAAGTCTATAGACCATGACTAAGGGGGCAGAGCCAAATAATCTCCATGGAAATGAGATATGCCAATGCTTATACAACTGCATACCAAATATCATTGACTTAACATTATAAGTTCATCTTAAACTGATCTAATCACAAACTAATACATGTAAACTAAGCAAAAGTTTCAAAGTCAATAGACCATGACTGAGGGGGCAGAGCAAAATAATCTCCATTGTAATGAGATGTGCCAATGCTAATACACCTTATCGCTATTCCCGCTTGACCCGAGAATCTGTCCCGCTCGAACTTTTGACGTCATATAACAATCACTTTTCCATTGTGGCGTCAGACATTTTCTATTATGACGTCAAAATTTTACGGGAACTTGTGTGATGTCCAGTAATGGCAGACAAATAGCGATAAGGTGTATACAACTGCATATCAAATATCATTGACCTACCACTAGTGGTTCACCATGAACTAGACCTAATCACACACTAATACATTGTTGACGCCACCGCCGCCGATGCCGGAAACAGCATATCTATGTCTCGCTTTTTGACTCCGTCAAGGCGACAAAAACCATAACTTGCCTCTCTTTGATGAGGTCGTAAAACATTACTTAACAATGGATCAACTACTACATGTACTGGATGTTTCTCCCTGAAATAAACACAAATCATTGTATCAAACTATCATTAAGACTATCCAATATTCAGAAATGGAAATCTTGTAACAAAACAAATAGAATAGTCACTTATCTGTGTTCAGGTGTTTTTCAAGATGTATGTTAATGAATATCCCTTTACAAAGGAGAAGGTTTAATGCAAAAATATCAGTATTGGCAGGATGAGGGACCATAATAAGTGTTAATAACAGGATGAGGGACCATAATAAGTGTTAATAACAGGATGAGGGACCATAATAAGTGTTAATAACAGGATGAGGGACCATAATAAGTGTTAATAACAGGATACCAATATATATTTAGTTATGAACTACACTTGATGGAAACCAATCCTGCTAAATATGAGAGGTTTCTGTAAAACGGGTTCAGAGTAGTTGTGTTCAATAGGTGTTATAGTCACAAAAAATAGTCAAAGTCCCATAACTCCCCTAATTTTTTTTATCATATTGACAGCATTATATGGTCAACTACATACGATTGCAAACTATAGTACCAAATATGAGAGCTTTCTGTCAAATGGGCAAGTCAAAAGTCTCATTACATGAGTAAAAATGGTCTGTTCCAAATGATGATACTACACATGATGGCATACAATCCTACCAAGTATGAGAGCTGTCTGTAAAAACGGTCCCAAAAAAAGTTGCATTCACAATGTGTCATTGTCAGAATACTAAAAAAATGGTCAAAGTCCCATAACTCCTGTACAAATGGTTGAATCATAATGGTGGTATAATATGGTCAACTACAAATGATGGAAAACAATCCTGCCAACTATGAGAGCTTTCTGAAAAACTGAACAAGAGAAATGGTTTTCACAAGGTGTCATCATAACAATACTAAAACTAGAGGCTCTAAAGAGCCTGTGTCTATGTGCATATTCAACAAAGGACACTCTCCAATAGTGTAAACGAGAATCGAATTCATGACAAAAATCTATTTTTTGTTGATCTTATATTGCTGATCCCTACGTCTGTTTAGTTTGTCTCTATCTTCTTAAGTTTTTGCTCAAAACATAAAAGAGGGTAAAAAAATACTCATTTAAGGGCAATCACTCCTATAAAGAGTGGCAGTCTGCTAACTATATCGGCAAAATTTGACTTGTTTGTAGATCTTGCCTTGCTGATCATTTTTGTTATTTGAAGTTCTACTTATCTATTATAATTTTTATCAAATAACTAATTCTTACTATCAAATACAAATAAATAAATACTTTTTCACCAATTATGTATATAAAAAGGGATTTCCTTCCAAAGCTATTTTTATTCGGGGAATAACCCCATGTACTTTATACCAAACTGTTTATAGCACCCGAGTGAATATGACCACAAATAGTCCTAACAAGTATAAAAGCTTTATGTCAAACAGTCTCTGAGTATTTAAGTGTTTCAGTCACAAAAAAGATAACATTCAAAGATCTTAATTTGGATTTAATGGTGATGCTGTAATTGTGGCAGCAAAATGGTTCATTTTGATGATAATTTCTCAACTATGACTGATTTAGGCCTAAATTATGATAGTTTTTTTTCCTTTAGACAACATATGTCACAAAGACTTACCAATATAACAATTTACAAAAATACACATCTTGTTTCCATGCATTTTCTATACAAATTAGTTTTGGTCAAAGGGTTGTGCAAAATTTTCCAGAAAGAACCCTTAGAAGCTATTAAAACAGTATGAGACAAACTAAAAGAGTGTGGAAATGAAAAAATGTGCAATATTCCTAGTTATAAAGGGGCATAACTCTAGAACAGTAAGTGACTTACTGCCAAAATTTGAACTGTCTGTGAGTTAGGTTCTTAGCATTGTGTATGAGTTTCATAAAATTAATATGAGGAAAACTTAAGAGTGCAGAAACGAAAACATTTGCAATTTTCCAAGTTATAAAGGGCATAACTCTAGAACGGTAAGTGATTCACTTAAGTTAAGAGTGTGGAAATGAAAATGGGACATCCATAAAGATGGACGGTCAAAGGTAACACTTAATGCCCCCATTGCCTACAGTGGGGGCATTAAAATAGAGCATTGCTGATATAATAAACAAATTGCATCTTTTATACTGAGATTTTATTCCATATTTTCTCCTTAAAGTTTGATATGCACTAGAGAGGTTCTGAGTAAAGTGATATTTGCTGGTAAGCATGGTTAAAATTAAAGACATTGCCAAAACCAGAAATAAGAAATATTTAACATTTTGTAAAGAATATACAGGGATAATATATTTCAATATCCAGAAAATTCCGGAAATTTTAAATGCATGCCCAAGCAGACGAATGATAAACAAGATGTCTGAAACAGACATTGTGTCCTTTCTGCAGGCATCAGAGCTAGAGTAATTGAAAAAGTATCATAAATGTTTGACAGCTAATGCCCCTTTGATGTAATAACTCTATATAATACTTTTTCGAATGTTTCAGTCAGTGTTTGTCTTTTCATGAACCTTCCCTACATTTGTGATTTTAATAGCTGAAGAAGAATAACATATTGTGTCAAGTCTATTATCTATAGTCTATTACTGTTTATCTATTCTATAATAAGAATTATTGCACTCATTGTGAATCTTTGCTTGACCCTATATTTGGTATTTCACTCTGGAATGCGTCATGTTTTTCAGTTTACCATAGGTAGTGTCTGGATTGCGTCACCTTTTTCAGTTTACCATAGGTAGTGTTGCCTTTGTCAATTAAAACATCAATTTGTTAATGAAATAAATGTCAACTGTAAGTTTTTCACACTATTTTTGTTTTTCAGTCTTGGTGAGGTAATACTGATTTTTTCTTATTTAAACATTTGTCTTAGTTGTTAATTAGCAGAATGTCAACTGCCCTCGACTTGTCCATAAAAATTCATTAACAGTTTTATGTGTTAATTTGAATTCAAAGTGCAAATTGCACAAGTACCTGTCTTTAATCCAGGTGTGCTTTCCTTGAATCATGTTTGTTTCAAAATTTTACAGTCTATAAATAAAATTGAAATAACAATGCAGATTCACAAAACATGAGAAATTTTTTTAACAGATATTCAATTGTGTCTATATTTACAAGAAAAAGATGAATAATTATGAAAAGGGATGAATCTTCTAAATACTGTGTAAGCTATCATCACCATATTTGGAAGTACTAGAAAATTCTATATTATAGGTAACTTCTATGGTAGAGCACATAAAGTCCACAGTCCACTCTAGTGGACTCAAAGTTTCCCAAGAGAAGCAATATGTCTGCAGTCTTACCATTGAAATATAGCAATTAATATAAGTTTAATTCCGTTGAGAGGAATTTGGATCAATTTTTATTTTAGATGACTCAATGAACTTTGGTGGATAGTTGTCTCATTGGCAATCATACCACATCTCCTTATTTTTATATCAAATTCAATCTACTATTTCAAAAGCATAACAGTTTGTAATGGGTTCTATATAACCCTGTGACCCATGACTGCCGCTGTTAGTGACAAAAATGTGTAATGGTTAATGCAAAAAAAAATATTTTTCTTTTATAAATTATATTACACAAATTTAAAAACTTTTTTTTTCAGTTTTGCACAGGGTGCTATATCTTGATTATGAAGAAACTTCTGTCCAGGTTTTTAGTATTCCATGATAATTTGACAAAGTTATTCAACTTTTAATATCTTTAACTACAGAATGTATGTACCCTAATGTTGACTGCAAAATAACTTTTTCATTTATAAGTATAATAAATACAGGAAAATGTATTTTTATACACCCTTTTTATGGGACATATTATGGTATACCGTTGTCCGTCCGTCTTCAATATGTCGGACAATAACTCAAAAACGTTTTAACCAATTTTCATGAAACTTTGGTGAATTGGTTATATATATATATTGACGTAAGCTCCCTTTCGATTTTTATAAATTTTAGATTTTACATATCTGAGTAATCAGTTATGGGATTTATTCATAAAAAAGGGGGGATTTTCCAGTTTTCGGACAATAACTCAAAAATGCTAAGAGCAGTTTTCATGAAACTTTAGTGACTGGTTTGTATCTCTTAAAATAAGCTTCCTTTAATTTTTTATAAATTTCTGATATGGCATTGAGGAGAAATTGAACTCTATTTGTTGAAAAAGCGATGGGTGTATCATGTGCTCATGGAGCAGCTCTTTATTAATAATTCTAGATGGTATCTCTTGATTATGAAGAAGCTCCTGTAAAAGTAACCTGGAATTCCATGAAGGTTTGAAAAAGAATATTGACATTTTAACAAGAGTGGACACGCTGAAATGTCTCGCCTTCTTTACTAACCATTGATATTATGTTGATAGTCCTAAATGAAAGCTTTACTACAACTATTACATAAACTTAACATGATCCAAGAAAATGAAGTCAAGGTCATATAAACCAAACAAGAAATACATGTACACCTTACAATCATTCAATACACTAAATATAGTTGACCTATTGCTTATAGTTTCTAAGAAACAGACTTAACCAAGAAAACTAAACATTGACCAATGAATCGTGAAAATGAGGTCAAAGTCAGATGAACCATGCCAGGCAGACATGAACAGCTTACAATCCTTCCATACAACAAATATAGCTGACCTATTGCTTATAGTTTAAGAAAAACAGACTGAAACACATAAACTTAACACTGAGCAATGAACTGTGAAAATGAGGTCAAGGTCAAATAAAACCTGCGAGACTGACATGTACATCATAGAATATTTCCATACACCAAATATAGTTGACTTATTGCATAATAGTATAAGAAAAAAGACCAAAACTCAAAAACTTAACTTTGACCACTGAACCATGAAAATGAGGTCAAAGTCAGATGACACCTGCCAGTTGGACATGTACACCTTACAATCATTCCATACACCAAATATAGTAGACCTATTGGATAAAGTATAAGAAAAACTGACCAAAACACAAAAACTTAACTATAACCACTGAACCATGAAAATGAGGTCAAGGTCAGATGACACCTGCCAGTTGGACATGTACACCTTACAATCATTCCATACACCAAATATAGTAGACCTATTGGATAAAGTATAAGAAAAACGGACCAAAACACAAAAACTTAACTATAACCACTGAACCATGAAAATGAGGTCAAGGTCAGATGACACCTGCCAGTTGGACATGTACACCTTACAATCATTCCATACACCAAATATAATAGACCTATTGCATACAGTATAAGAAAAACAGACCAAAACACAAAAACTTAACTATAACCACTGAACCATGAAAATGAGGTCAAGGTCAGATGACACCTGCCAGTTGGACATGTACACCTTACAATCATTCCATACTCCAAATATAATAGACCTATTGCATACAGTATAAGAAAAACAGACCAAAACACAAAAACTTAACTATAACCACTGAACCATGAAAATGAGGTCAAGGTCAGATGACACCTGCCAGTTGGACATGTACACCTTACAGTCCTTCCATACACCAAATATACTAGACCTATTGCTTATAGTATCTGAGATATGGACTTGACCACCAAAACTTAACCTTGTTCACTGATCCATGAAATGAGGTCGAGGTCAAGTGAAAACTGTCTGACAGGCATGAGGACCTTGCAAGGTACGCACATACTAAATATAGTTATCCTATTACTTATAATAAGAGAGAATTTTAACATTACAAATAATCTGAACTTTTTTTTCAAGTAGTCACTGAACCATGAAAATGAGGTCAAGGAAATTGGACATGTGACTGACAGAAACTTCGTAACATGAGGCATCCATATACAAAGTATGAAGCATCCAGGTCTTCCACCTTCTAAAATATAAAGCTTTTAAGAAGTTAGCTAACGCCGCCGCCGCCGGATCGCTATCCCTATGTCGAGCTTTCTGCGACAAAAGTCGCAGGCTCGACAAAAACTATCACCCTAGACTGTATCTTAATGTTAACTTAGTCCATCTATCAGTAAAATATGAAAAGGTAAAAACAAGAGTGCACATGCTGAAATGTCTCACCTTCTTTACTAATCATTGATATTATCTTGAGAGTCCTAAATATAAAGCTTTATTACAACTGTCACATAAACTTAACATTAACCAAGTAAACTAAACATTGACCAATGAACCATGAAAATGAGGTCAAGGTCAAATTAAACCTGCGTGACTGACATATACATCATAAAATATTTCCATACACCAAATATAGTTGACCTATTGCATATAGTATTAGAAAAAAAGACCAAAACTCAAAAACTTAACTTTGACCACTGAACCATGAAAATGAGGTCAAGGTCAGATGACACCTGCCAGCTAGACATGTACACCTAAAATCATTCCATACACCAAATATAGTAGACCTATTGCATACAGTATAAGAAAAACAGACCAAAACACAAAAACTTAACTATAACCACTGAACCATGAAAATGAGGTCAAGGTCAGATGACACCTGCCAGTTGGACATGTACACCTTACAGTCCTTCCATACACCGAATATACTAGACCTATTGCTTATAGTATCTGAGATATGGACTTGACCACCAAAACTTAACCTTGTTCACTGATCCATGAAATGAGGTCGAGGTCAAGTGAAAACTGTCTGACGGGCATGAGGACCTTGCAAGGTACGCACATACCAAATATAGTTATCCTATTACTTATAATAAGAGAGAATTTAACATTACAAAAAATCTTAACTTTTTTTCAAGTAGTCACTGAACCATGAAAATGAGGTCAAGGACATTGGACATGTGACTGACGGAAACTTTGTAACATGAGGTATCCATATACAAAGTATGAAGCATCCAGATTTTTCACCTTCTAAAATATAAAGCTTTTAAGAAGTTAGCTAACGCCGCCGCCGCCAGATCACTATCCCTATGTCAAGCTTTCAGCGACAAAAGTCGCAGGCTCGACAAAAAAAAACACTTTCAAAATTTGACTTTAGATGATATCTCTTAATCATGAAAAAACTTCTGTCTAAGTTGTATAAAATTCTTTTTTAACATTAAATACACTCATACTGTGTGACCTATCTTGAGACAACTGAAGAATGTAATAGCAATGACAAAACCAAACTGATTAACTTAGATCCAATTTATCAGGTTTTTAAGCATCTGGAAGAAATGACCTCTTGACCCAGTTCATTGAAAATAATGATTTCTACCTAATGGAATTGAACTTCTCTCATTTTTTTCACTTTACTCTCTTCAGCTATTTTTTTTAGGGGGGGGGGGGGGGAGAATTGTTATGCAGTCAATCTGAATTATTAGCCCTATTCATACAATTCATACATCATTCCATGCACAGTTATCAAAATATACCTTGATGTACAATGCAGTTGAATTGTTTCTGTATTTTGCAGTGAGATTGTCCAGCAATTTACAACCAGTTTTTTTTATATTTCTTTACCCTAAATTTCAACGTTAATTTATTGTTAAGCTAAATTATCATTGAAATTTTGAATTCACCAAAGCATGACAGAGAAGCCAGGCCTTATTTGATATAATGTACCCAACTGTCATGCATGGATGGGTGATACAAATGTATATCTAAATATCAATGATGTAATATATGTAGATATTCTGGAACACACTTTGTCAGAAAACTTATCATGAGACATATATCTTTTATTTATATGTACATTGTGCATAGCTGTAAACATATGCAAAATATACCCATTAAATACTAAATCAAGACTACTGGTATTCTTTAAAGAGAGTATGTACTGACTAACTTATGGTTAGGATTATGTGCTGTAGAAGTGTTATCAAATGAAATCAACCATATCTCCTTATTTTTATATTAAGTGTGTTTTGCTATATTTTACATACAAGTCAACTTTGAGTTGTTCATGTGCACTGAGTTCTGGTGGTGTGTATAAAACCAAAGCTCCTTCTTCAAACGGGTCGTACAATGGTTGTCTGTTTCCCTGTCGTCTTACACCTAAAGCTCTATTAAGTGTGCTTCCTAAAAAAAGAAAAGAAATAAATATGAGATTATGTCTTACTGCAGTTTATATATATCATAATTTTTCAAGTGTTTCAAATTTTTTTGGTAATAGAAATAAACAAATTACAAAAGTCTCACGTTTAATATTGATATCTTTGTTAGTGTCAGGCCCAGATTTTAACCATTATGAACAGGTTCTTGTAAACAACTAATCTGCTACACTTGGTTTTGCTGAAATCTAAAATCCTTTTTTCGTCAGTAACATTACTGAACTACATTAGATGCATTAAATTTTAATAGCATGTGTAATGACAGCAATCTTTTGTTATTTGATCCACCTCAGAAATTTGTCAGAAATATATTCTGAGTACAGTTTGAAAAATTAGATGACATTTCATTCAACATGCAAGTACCTCAATCTACCGCTCAAAGGTGTAGTGCTTATTGCAGTATCTGAGAGGGAGGACACCATAAACTGCTTTATAATATCAATAAATTCAAGTATGCACAGTTAGATTTTATGGTGAAATGAGTCGCTGAATACATAAATATTGAACTACAAATCACAATCGATGCGTAAAAATAGTATAACAAATCACTGACTACTATCACCAATATTATCACCAATTCTTATCTCACTTACCTTTATAGTTAGGAATTGGAATCTTAAATGGTTTTGACAGTATCTTCCTGATAAGAGCTTCCTGGTCAAATAATAGAAATCAAGATAATAATGTTGTAATTATTAGAAACAAAATTGTTCATGTTGTTAGAAAGGAAGGAATGGGGGATTAAGGGCATACGATACAGTTACAGGGGAGATAATGACGTTGCTAACGTAATATGTTGTTTTTCGCGACAACAAATGACTTGATAATGTATGAAGATTATTTGTTCCAATTTTTTTAAACGATGATTTTTTTTTAAATTAGATAAATATGAAGCAAAAAATGATGTTTTTACTAAAATCATAAAATTTTAATAAAAATTATTTTCAAAGAATTGTTACACAAATTTAGAGCATACTTTTGTAAAGAAGATATTCTAAATCGTTTTACAAAAATCCTTATGTGTTTATTTATGAAACAAAAAAGTTAAGTATGTCCGTCCAAAGGATAGAAATGTACAAGAAACCGAAATCTTAAGTAAATGTCTAAAATTTCAACGCCATTTATCTGTAAATTTAGCACATGAAGGTATATTTTTTATTACATATTTGAATCAACTAATTGAAAAATAGCTTGTATGCAAATTTTCGTAAAAAAATCACCGTGGGATCAAAACTGTATCGTATGCCCTTAAACAAAACCAACAAGACCTATTACCAAATGATATACAAATTTCAAGTTGATTTCTGATAAAGCAAGTTTGGAATAAAAACAAAATAGACCATAAACCAACATTTAAAAAAAAAACGTAATTTGTAGTTATCAAAAAACTTAATTTTAAAAGTACAAATACTGAATGATGACACAGAAAGAAATAAGACCCAATATGACATGTATTTATTTAATTTAAATTACTTAATGGCAAAAATATAAATACAGAAATTAAGTTATTATTTTCTCAAATGTCATTATGTTTAGAAAATCTATTTACGTAAATTCTAAATTAAGTAATACAACGTAACATACATTGATACTATAATTGTGAAATTTTTGTACATGTATATTTTTATTCTTTTGTGATCATGCAACTGTATAATGGTGCTTGATTATAATATTGAGATGAAAGAGCAGCCAATAATAGTACCACTTTACATGTTTATTGGGGTTTTACTTTGACAATACTGGGAATATAAAAGCCAATTAAACCACCAACCTCTGAGTTTAGCAGCATCTAATTAATTGTTCCCATCCATCCCTAAATATTTAAGAACCCATCCTCAATTTTTTCGTCAAAAATTAAATATCGTAGCATCACTCTTGATATCGGATTCAAATTCGACTTTTAATATAATGTCAGCTTCTTTTATTACATCTTCCTTTAATTTTTTTCTGTGGTGATCCATGCAATGATCTTATTCAGAAGGTATTGCATCATGGGAAAAGTATTATTTTTGGTGATATTAATTGGTCAAGAGGATTATATTTGTTAGGATATTAGTGTTTTTAAAAGTAACCTGAGCTATATTATGGCTGTCAAGAGGATTGTAAGACTGAGCATCATATAATACAAGTACAAGGATGAATGTGGAATTTCTATGTAAATCCATATTATTACAAGACATCTTTCCAAGAATCTTCAGAACATTCTTTGAAATTAATCACTGCTACAACTTTCTGTTTTTCCTGAATGACTTTTTGACAGGTTTTACAAGTATGGTAAGGAAGTAACACTCGTGTCTCTGTGATTTTTATCATTATTATGATTTAACAGACTTACATGTTGAGATATAGCATCATGACAAATATTGGTTGAAATATTGGATAAAGGTGATCTGACTGGACTTTGGTGGTCATCTAAACATTTCACCCTCTTCACCTATAAGAAAATGGAAAACAATTTTGTGTAAACTAGAGAGCAACATATACTGGAACTTGGATGTGATCAAAGATTTACCATGTACAAAAACATAGACAACTAGACATCATTGAGATGGGAGCCATCTCTGTGGGCCCCGCTGACCTTGAACTTTGACCTAGGAAGTTGTACAAACATTATGACACACCCTCTGGTGTTGGTTAATATACATATCAAGTATAAAGTATGAAATTATAACGGTTCTCTAGATATAGAGCGGACACAATTTGTTACATACAGACGGACAGACTGATCACTATAGGGCGACCCGCCACTAGGCGGGGACCTAATAATCCCTTATTCTCAATAATGTTTTATTATATGACTATAAAACTTCTGTCTTCTCACTGACTAAAAGCATAGAGAAACTTCTTTGTAAAACATTATATTCACCATGGGAAAATCAAGAGAGGTTAATATAAGATTTGGAACAAGTACTGTATACCTAAATAGTTATTTTTCTAGGCAACTTCAATGACATAGAGTTATGACTCATGCAAATTCTCAATTTTCTTATTTTTTTCTGTTTAAATTTTATTGAATATTTCAATTTATAAAAGTTAGCAACTGCCAAAGCAGATAACACATTTAGAATAAAAACATGGAGCAATTAAATATCTTGAGCAAATACAAGAATATTAGAAATAAATAAAAAAAAGTCATATAATAAAACAACTGATGACATTTGATATCAGTTGAAGCAATAATTTATAGACCTCTAAGATATGACATTCATCCCAGGTCTGTTGGCCTCGGTGAATATAATATCCTTGGGGTTGATAAATCATTGTATCAACCTCATCAAAAGCCAATAATTGGATAGTATATTCTAGCTACTCTATCAATTCATTAAGCTGTTCTTACTCCAGCAGGAAAATTCTTCCAATTTTATTCTCAGATGTATTTGCATTTCAACACGAAAGAAAGTCTCAAAACAATCTAAATAAGGGTGATTTAAAAAATAATGAAGATAATTACAAATTATGCAGCCCTGAGATGAGATGTGGCCAAGAAACATCCAAGAGTTTAAAAGACCATCGATAATTTGTTTATCGATATTTTGCCTATGACGTCATTGATGTTTACATTGACAATGTCACATGCGACTTAGTTTCTGACTATAATTTTCTATCTCAAGCGAGTAGCATATGATATGAAAAATCAGATCAAAGGAAAAATACTGAAAAATAGAGATAAATTATGATATATACTGACTTAAGACAAATACTCCTTGTAAAGGTATTTATTTTCACTATTTTGCTCTCGACACTGTCTTTTGATCATAAAAAAGCTTCTATCCAACTTTCTATCCAACTTAAGTAAAATCCCATAATGGTCTGACAAAGTTATTGATGTCTTAAAAAACTTTTTAACACAGACTGACCCTAAATGTTGACACCGCCAATGGAATTAAGGATCGCTATATCTCGATTCCGCAAGATACATGAAGCAGGCTCTGCAACATTCAATTGTAAAAGTAAACAAATTGTCTTAAAGCAAAATTCCTATAAATTCCCATAAATTTTTGTAAGATATGTATGTGTACAGATCTATTAAAATTTTGAATTTAAATGTTGGCTATCTGTACAAAGCTGCAATAATGCCTATAAGCACAGCATTCATAAATTAGTTTGACCACAAAAAAATTCAGGAGAGTGACATCTACCAATCAACAATATGTAATTTAATGGTACAATATCAAAGAAAAGAAAAAGTTTTAAATATCTGCGACATAAAACATATGCCAAAGCTAAAAGATGAAATTATTGATGCCAGGAGTGTGACATGATTTTAAATGGCATGGTTTTACAATTTAGAATTTTGAAATAGTTATTTAATGGGTCGCCTTGTGTTTAAAATCTGAATTTAGGTAGAAAATTATAAGTTATATTGGTGTTCCTTTTGGTTATAGTGTGGTGTCACTAAGACAATAAATGTGCAATAAGTTACATATACCAAATAAAATTATTGTACATGGCTTTAAAATAATAAAAATACTAGAACACACCCGCAACATCACGTTTCTGTGACTGAATTAAAGTACCTATGCCTTATTTTTAGCCTGGATTTTTAGTATTCATATTGTCTGAAGTCAAACATAAAAAGCCCTGGATTTTACAATAATAAAAGAACAGAGCTTCAATGTCCCCGGTATTGCACATACTTTATCTGTTTTGTCCAAGGGTAATAACTAAAAAAAATATTTTTTAAACTTTTTAAATTTATCTTACTACAGAGTTGAAGATTTGAGATCAATTTCAGATATATTTAATATTTCCAGGGGAAACTCATTGAAAACATTTTATCAGCACTTATTTTCGAAATTGTCCGAGACATTGCTGTTATAAACCTTTGATATGAATTTGATAAAAATTGTACATTTGAGAGCACTTACAATGCAAATTTCCATATAATTTTATTTTTTTATAACTTATATTTCTAAGGGCATAACTCTTTTATAGTAAAACATTAAAAATAGTTGATCGGCACTAGTTTTCGAATTGGTCCAAGACATTGCTGATATAAACCTACAATATAAGTTTCACAAAAATCTGGTAAAAATTGTACACATGAGAGCGCTAACGATGCAATTTTCCATATAATTAATGTTTCCAAGGGGCATAACTCTTTTAAAAATACTTCATCTGCACTGATTTTTGAACTTGTTCTAGACAATGCTGATATAAGCCTACAATATAAGTTTCATAAAAATCTGGAAAGAATAGACATCATGTACATGTGAGAGCACTAACAAGACCAGATGAATGGACAGACGGACAGAGGCCAGTATTTCTATGTCCCTCGCAAGGCATCGGACAATAAACTGCTTCGCTTAGCGCAGCTAGATACGCCCGCAGAACTCCAACCCTGAACAGTTGGGCCAAAAATGGACACAATATTCAAGCTTGATTCAGGTCTGAATTTGGATTGTAATTAAATATTTGACATATTATAGGTTTCTGAATAAATGTAGTCAAAGAACTTGAAATTGGTTATATGAATTGAATTTATATTCAATTAAAGATTTCTTGCTGTTGTGCAATACTTAGTAAATCTGTTGTCAGACTATAAACAAATAAAGTTCAATTAATTCTCAATGTCAGATTAGAAATTTATGAAAACTAGAGGCTCTAAAGAGCCTGTGTCGCTCACCTTGGTCTATGTGCATATTAAACAAAGGACATAGATGGATTCATGACAAAATTGTGTTTTGGTGATGGTGATGTGTTTGTAGATCTTCCTTTACTGAACATTCTTGCTGCTTACAATTATCTCTATCTATAATGAACTTGGCCCAGTAGTTACAGTGCAAAATATTTTGTAAAAATTTACAAAAATTTACCAAATTTATGAAAATTGTAAAAAATTGAATATAAAGGGCAATAACTCCTTAAGGGGTCAATTGACAATTTTCGTCATGTTGACTTATTTGTAGATCTTACTTAGCTGAATATTATTGCTGTTTACAGTTTATCTCTATCTATAATAATATTCAAGATAATAACCAAAAGCTGCAAAATTTTCTTAAAATTACCAATTCAGGGGCAGCAACCGAACAACGTGTTGCCTGATTGGTCTGAAAATTTCAGGGCAGATAGATCTTGACCTAATGAACAATTTTATCCCCATGTCAGATTTGCTCTAAATGCTTTGGTTTCAGAGATATGAGCCAAAAACTGCATTTTACCCTATGTACTATTTTTTAGCCATGTCGGCCATCTTGGTTCACGGGCGGGGTCATCGGACACATTTTTTAAACTAGATACCCTAATGATGATTGTGGACAAGTTTGGTTAAATTTGTCTCAGTAGTTTCAGAGGAGAAGATTTTTGTAAAAGATTACAAAAATTTACGAATGGTTAAAAATTGACAATAAAGGGCAATAACTCCTTAAGGGGTCAACTGACCATTTTGGTCAATTGACTTATTTGTAGATCTTACTTTGCTGAACATTATTGCTGTTTACAGTTTATCTCTATCTATAATAATATTCAAGATAATAACCAAAAACGGCAAAATTTCCTTTAAATTACCAATTCAGGGGCAGCAACCCAACAACATGTTGTCCGATTCATCTGAAAATTTCAGGGCAGATAGATCTTGACCTGATAAACAATTTTACCCCATGTCAGATTTGCTCTAAATGCTTTGGTTTCAGAGATATAAGCCAAAATCTACATTTTACCCCTATGTTCTATTTTTAGCCATGGCGGCCATCTTGGTTGGTTGGCTGGTTCATCCGACACATTTTTTTAAACTAGATACCCCAATGATGATTGTGGCCAAGTTTGGTTTGATTTGGCCAAGTAGTTTCAGAGGAGAAGATTTTTGTAAAAGATTACAAAAATTTATGAAAAATGGTTAAAAATTGACTATAAAGGGCAATAACTCCTTAAGGGGTCAACTGACCATTTTGGTCAAGTTGACTTATTTGTAGATCTTACTTTGCTGAACATTATTGCTGTTTACAGTTTATCTCTATCTATAATAATATTCACGATAATAACCAAAAACGGCAAAATTTCCATTAAATTACCAATTCAGGGGCAGCAACCCAACAAAAGGTTGTTTGATTCATCTGAAAATTTCAGGGCAGATAGATCTTGACCTGATTAACAATTTTACCCCATGTCAGATTTGCTCTAAATGCTTTGGTTTCAGAGATATAAGCCAAAATCTACATTTTACCCCTATGTTCTATTTTTAGCAATGGCGACCATCTTGGTAGGTTGGCGGGGTCATCGGACACATTTTTTAAACTAGATACTTGAATGATGATTGTGTTTAAGTTTGGGTGCATTTGGCCCAGTAGTTTCAGAGGAGAAGATTTTTGTAAAAGTTTATGGATGACGGACGACGGACGCAAAGTGATGAGAAAAGCTCACTTGACCTTTCAGGTCAGGTGAGCTAATAAAAAGGGAGCTTACATCAATAGATATAAACAATTCACCAAAGTTTCATGAGAACTGGTGACAGCATTTTTGAGTCTGAAAACTGGAAAATCACCCCTATTTTTAATGAATAAAACCCCATAACTCAGAAATGTAAAATGTAAAATTTATAAAATTCTAAAGGGAGCTTACATCAATACATACAAACAATTCACCAAAGTTTCATAAGAATTGCTGAAAGCATTTTTGAGTTTTTGTCCGAAAACTGGAAAATCCCCCCTTTTTTTATGAATAAAACCCTGCAACTCGGAAACGTAAAATCTAAAATTTATAAAAATCAAAAGGGAGCTCATGTCAATAGATATAAACATTTCACCACAATTTCTTGCAAGTTTGTGAAAGCATTCTTGACTTATTGTCCGAAAACTGGAAAATCCCCGTTTTTTTAATGAATAAAACCCCACAACTCGGAAACGTAAAATCTTAATTTTATAAAAGACGAAAGGGAGCTCACGTCAATAGATATAAACAATTCACCAAAGTTTTATGCAAATTTGTTAAAGCATTTTTGAGTTAATGTCCGACATGTTGACGACGGACAGACGGACGGACAACGGTATACCATAATACGTCCCATAAACGGGCGTATAAAAACTGTAAGTACATATATACCTGTGGGGAAAACGTTTCATCCTGGCTTCTTTTACTGCCACTATTGACCAGAAAACTTCTCTGGCTTGGAGCCTGACTTTTTCTCTGTAAAAATATATGCAAATAAATAAATGCAATTATGGTTACACTGGATAACCTACAAAACTTACTGAAGAACAAAATAAACCTTAAAAAAATAATGCCATTTCACAAAACTAAAGATCAATTCCCACAAACATATATATATGTACATGTCCATCAAATACAGAAATGTCTGCAGTTTCTTCCAATAATAATAATGAAATTTGAGAAATATGCACTATGCTCATTTTAATATGGGTAGTCATTTTATTTGTCAATACCTTTATACAGAGTGTTAGCAAGGACAATATAAAGCCTACCCATGTTAAAATTAGCATAGAGCATGGCATGATAAACATCTTCTGATTCTAATAGGAGAATTTAGAACTTTTGTACTTTGAAGCGGACCTATAACACATTCAAAAGGTAGCAATTTTGATTTGATAAAGCCAAAATGTTATATGAAACAATATTTGACAGGTTTTATTACCTAGATTAGGTAGACAATACATAGTAGGAACCTTTAAATGTTCAAACCATGCCTTAAGTTGAGATGTGATATTGATAATCATATGATTGTATACTTTTTAAATCTGTTAAGGGCAGGGTTTGAATGTAGAAAAATTTATACTTGTTCTTAAGAACTTCCTTGTAGTTCCATCTGTACCAAACTGTTGTAAACGTCTCACCGATAAGATTTTAGGCGAAACTGAGAAACTTTTTTTTAAGAGCTAACTTGTATTCCTTTCTATTTCAGAGATTTTCAAGTAAAACAATTCATTCACAGCTTTGAATTGTAAATAATTAGTTCAATAGTAATTATTTACCTCTATTTTGCTGCTTCAACTTCCTATATATTACTTAAAACGACCATACCATAGGCATTTACTTTTTATTTACTAATACTTTGCTACCACCATCTTGACCCAAAACCGGATGTACAGTGGAAAAAAATAACATTTGCCAGTGAAATCAGAATTGCCAGACCTATGCATGCAATGAAATAACCTTATCCCAAAACTCAGAATTTTACCAGTATGAGGGTTTAAGTCACTGGTATTACTGTACGGTGAAAAATTATGATTGCAAAATTAGCCAATGAAATAGTAATTTACAGTTGTAAAGTCTTTATAAGAAATATTTGATGAATTCAAGCAGCGGAATTCAGATAAATATATAACGAAACGAATTAAGTATAACTGTAAGTTGTAGCACCACACATATTCCTTCAAACTGATCCTGAACCAGGCTGATAGATCACCAGACAATAAGACACAATACAAACAAATGATTTGGCTGTCTGACATCTAATTTGTCTGTCAGGACAGTGGGACAAAGTTGTTTCTTGAACCAGGCTGGTAGATCACCAGACAATAAGACACAATACAAACAAATGATTTGGCAGTCTGACATCTAATTTGTCTGTCAGGACAGTGGGACAAAGTTGTTCCTGAACCAGGCTGATAGATCACCAGACAATAAGACACAATACAAACAAATGATTTGGCAGTTTGACATCTAATTTGTCTGTCAGGACAGTGGGACAAAGTTGTTCCTGAACCAGGCTGATAGATCACCAGACAATAAGACACAATACAAACAAATGATTTGGCAGTCTGACATCTAATTTGTCTGTCAGGACAGTGGGACAAAGTTGTTCCTGAACCAGGCTGATAGATCACCAGACAATAAGACATGATACAAACAAATGATTTGGCAGTCTGACATCTAATTTGTCTGTCAGAACAGTGGGACAAAGTTGTTCCTGAACCAGGCTGATAGATCACCATACAATAAGACATGATACAAACAAATGATTTGGCTGTCTGACATCTAATTTGTCTGTCAGGCCAGTGGGACAAAGTTGTTCCTTAACCAGGCTGACAGATTACCAGACAATAAGACATGATACAAACAAATGATTTGGCTGTCTGACATCTAATTAGTCTGTCAGGACAGTGGGACAAAGTTGTTCCTTAACCAGGCTGACAGATTACCAGACAATAAGACATGATACAAACAAATGATTTGGCTGTCTGACATCTAATTAGTCTGTCAGGACAGTGGGACAAAGTTGTTCCTAAACCAGGCTGATAGATCACCAGTCAATAAGACATGATACAAACAAATGATTTGGCTGTCTGACATCTAATATGTCTGTCAGGACAGTGGGACAAAGTTGTTCCTAAACCGGGCTGACAGATTACCAGACAATAAGACAAGATACAAACAAATGATTTGGCTGTCTGAAATCTAATTTGTCTGTCAGGACAGTGGGACAAAGTTGTTCCTAAACCGGGCTGACAGATTACCAGACAATAAGACATGATACAAACAAATGATTTGGCTGTCTGACATCTAATTTGTCTGTCAGGACAGTGGGACAAAGTTGTTCCTGAACCAGGCTGACAGATTACCAGACAATAAGACATGATACAAACAAATGATTTGGCAGTCTGACATCTAATTTGTCTGTCAGGACAGTGGGACAAAGTTGTTCCTGAACCAGGCTGATAGATCACCAGACAATAAGACATGATACAAACAAATGATTTGGCAGTCTGACATCTAATTTGTCTGTCAGAACAGTGGGACAAAGTTGTTCCTGAACCAGGCTGATAGATCACCAGACAATAAGACATGATACAAACAAATGATTTGGCTGTCTGACATCTAATTTGTCTGTCAGGCCAGTGGGACAAAGTTGTTCCTTAACCAGGCTGACAGATTACCAGACAATAAGATATGATACAAACAAATGATTTGGCTGTCTGACATCTAATTTGTCTGTCAGGACAGTGGGACAAAGTTGTTCCTAAACCAGGATGATAGATCATCAGTCAATAAGACATGATACAAACAAATGATTTGGCTGTCTGACATCTAATTTGTCTGTCAGGACAGTGGGACAAAGTTGTTCCTTAACCGGGCTGACAGATTACCAGGCAATAAGACAAGATACAAACAAATGATTTGGCTGATAGATCACCAGTCAATAAGACATGATACAAACAAATGATTTGGCGGTCTTACATCTAATTTGTCTGTCAGGACAGTGAGATGAAGTTGGCCACAGACTGGTAGTACTTATGCCATACCACTTCTACATTGTTAGTTGTTTTGTATGCTGGTAAGAACGCAACATTTTAAATGAGGGATTAATTAAACTTTGATACCACAACATTCAGTTGGGTATACTTCTTAAACAAGTAATTTTATCATCACCTCAGTGATTTTAGACTAGTGATTTGAAAATTTCAGTAAGCACCTAAGCGACGTAAAATAATTGTTTTGTTGGAACTGTTCAACAGATACTTGAAAATTTATCCAAAAACATTTCTATTACTACTGATCAACAGTGTCTTCTGTATAACAGTATGGTTGGATCTGTACTGAAATAGGGGTTTTTAAATTATTAATATGTTTTCTGAAAGCCACCTATAGTTCATTTGCATTTAAGCTTTGTAACTTTTTGAAAATGCATGGCAAACTAGATCTGTTATAATTGACTAGTTATACTTTCCATGTAATTGTATTGTTCTCTATAATCAGTCTTTTCTGTAGCATTGCATGTTGTAAATGCTTTTGCAAATAAACATCCATTTAGTTTTAATAGTTTTGTCCAATTCAATTGTAATCCAACTTGTGATTATTTCGTCAATTACCAAGATGTAAACAATTTCTTGAAGCAATAAAAAGATTAACAAATTGATTTAATCATGTAATTAAATTTTCACAGTATAGTGTAATCTAGGTGTCTTCCTGCTATTCCTACATTTTATAAATACATATTCCTTTTATTCCTACAAACAAAGAACAATAGATGTTGGTATAAGGTGTTTTGTTGTTTTAGCAATTTAAATTTGATTTAAATACAGATAAGGCTCGACAATGAGTAAGGGTTCCGCCGAACCCAGTGTCTCGCCTACTTTTGCTGTTAGTCGCAGGCTAAACAAAAATGGGGAAAAAATTATTAAAAATTTTCCTCTAGATACTATCTTTTGATTGTAAGAAGTTCTGTTCAAGTTTGGTAAAAATCCAAGAAGGTTTATGATTCTAATAAATGTTTTAAAAACTTTAACTGCAGACTGTACGTAATGTTAACCGGAATAAAACTAAGTCCATTTATAAGTAATATACGAAAAAACAGGAAATAAAATTTTTACAAAATTTCCTTCTGGATATTAGCTTTTGATCGTAAACAAGCTTCTGTCCAAGTGTGGTACAAATTCGAGATAGTTTAAGAAAGTTATTAAAATTTGAAAAACTTTAACCACAGAGTGAATATATGTGGACGCCGCCGACGACGACAGAATGTAGGATCGCTATGTCTCTCTTTTGCGACAAAAGTCGCAGGCTCGACAAAACGGGAAAAAAAAATGGTAAAATTTGTCATTTATGGGCAATAACTCCTATAAGAATTTGTCTACCAGTTTTATGGACAATTGGTAGAGCTCATTATTCTGAACATTTTGCTCCTTTCAGATTTTCTTTATTTATAACGGTTCAAAAAATAATGGACAAAACTTGCATTTTACCCCTATGTTCTATTTTTAACTATGTAGGCCATGTTGGTTGGTAGGCGGGGTCATCGGACACAGTTTTTAAACTAGATACCCTAATGATGATTGCGGCCAAGTTTGGTTAAATTTGTCGCTGTAGTTTCAGAGATGATTTTTGTAAACGATAACAAAAATGTACAAAAAATTGTTAAAATTTGACTATAAAGGGCAATATCTCCTTAAGGGAAATTGCAGAATTTTACATGGACAGCAATGGGGCTATGAATTAGTGGTTTTATACCATAATAGTTAATGAGACAAGACTTTTCATTTTTATTTGCTTTATCTCATCAAGATATTTTTTCAATACATCAAAAAATATAACCAAAATATTAACCCCTACCCCTTCTCTGAAGTCAACATTTTTAACCCTCTTGCTGCTGCTTATATAATGTGGTTACATTTCTAATAGACCTTATCGCTATTTTAAAATCTGAGACACTTGACCCGAGAATCTAAGACACTTGAACTATTGACGTCATACAACAATCACTTTTCCAGTAATGGCAGAGAAATAGCGATAAGATGTTTGCCAGGAAATACGACAGCTAGACGTCTGTGACGTCACATGTCCCACTTTGATGACGCTTAATTGGAGAGCCATTAAACTATATAATCATCTGTGTTTTATTTGAATGAGATGTAGTAATGAACATATGCTTGCATAAATTATATATATGGACATGTGTCCCTCCAGCACAGTCGGTGTTGACACATGTGTCACTCATACCTGCCAACCTTTAAAAATCGCCATGGGGGATTTTAAGCGCAAGAGGACCTAATGTTCCTCTTATATTGTCATAAGTGTTCTTTATTTACTACTATATTGTTTGAATGAGTATATATGTGCTTAAATATCCTTTTAACTCTTTTGAATGCCTGTTTTGAGGTCTCTTGTTTATATAATAAAGAATTTAAAAATTCAGGTCAACACCTCTCATGGGGATATCCCCCATAAATCGGGATAGTAGGCAGGTCTGGTCCCTCAGGCAGCAAGAGGGTAAAGTTACCTGATTTGACTACTTTATTAACTTCAAGGCTTTGTCCTGATTTACAAATTATTCTAATTTTATGGTTAATTTAAACAAGGATTTAAATAAAAAAAAACACAAATTAACTTGGTGCGTAATTTCTGGTGCGCATCAAAACAGGTGCCAGGAGCATACAATATAAACAAGGTAATCTTGATTTCACATGATATTGCAGGTTTTTCTCCAAAAAAAAATGTCAGTCATAGAGGATATGAATGACCCAGGAGAGAGTTCCCCTAACAGGAGTTAAACCTTATCTCTAACCCTCTTGATTATAGAGATATTTTAACACCCCCCTTTTACTTCATGAAAGTTTGTTTTTTTATTCTGCTGTTAATCCACACGTCTAATTAACCAAATACGGTAAATATTTAAAATTTGTAGATAAGTTGACACGACAAACATACTCTTGCGGATACAGTTTTATGTAGGTGTAAAAAAAACTACGATTCATGATTACATGACGTAACAAACCATTTCGCAAAACAGAATCAGTGTGTAGGCGGTCACATCTCCTTTGTGTGTTTTATATCAACATCGTTGTTTCAATAGTTTTTCTGTAGGATCATCATCATTGATATTTTACATGATTGTTCTTAAAGAGATACTTTAAAACTCAACAATACATATTTTTTCATTCATCTGAGCAAAGGGGATTTTCCTTTTCGAACAGAGCCGCCATAACTGGTGATTCCCAATTTGCCTGACAGAACCAATCAAATTTCCTGTTACATCTCACGTGCCAGACGGTGTTCCCATGTGCAGGAACTGACGCTGGAAGTGGGTTACTGGGACACTGAGAGTAATGGTCAAATACTGAGATATACTCTCAATACTTGACCATCAATGGATAAAGAAAGCATACACGATCAAGCATGGAAAAAGAACTAAAGTTACATAGCCCAGTTGGGACGGAACCTGCAATATTTACTTGGCCATTAGCTTCGTCGGTAAGGCGTGTTTAGACTGAAAATCATAATACCCTTTATCAAAAAGACAAAATTTCTTCAGTTATTTTAGTATTTTTTCGCTCATAATATATATTTTACTTTTCAGGATAAAGACGATGAGAATAACGAAATTGTTGAAACAATCAGGTAAGTCGTTTCTTGAAATAATTACAAAAACAGAACAAAACACTGACATGGTCTATTTTTATACAGACGCCATGCAGATAATGTATTCAATCATGTTTCACTGACTCGCAGGAATGTAACCGATATTTTTATGAAAACTATTAATCTTAGTTAAGTGCACGGGCATTTATTATTTATGCTAATGAATAAAGTAATTATAATTATAGATTAAAATCAGAATTGCATAGTCAACATTTTATTTCTATCCCAATTTATGGACAGACTGAATTACTATTTTGGGTCAAATTTAATTATGTCAAGTGTGCACAGTAGCCAGTACATGTAGGCAGCTCTGTACACATGGATATGTGCAACAAATCACAAAAATGACCAAATGCATAAAAAAGAACCCAAAGATTTTAATTTGCTACAAGTGTGTTTACTTGTATATTCCCATTTTTTCTATGCTTATATCCTATAAGTCTTGATGATGAATAACTTATGAAAAGAGAAAAATCCATATATTGATATATACATATAAGTAGATAGTAATGAAACAGGTGTGCACAATGGTCAGCTTTTACAACAAATGACAAGTACAGTATTCCCATATTTCCATTGACAAAGAAAATATGCTGACTCAGCAATTTTACACTGTTATGATCAGTAGTAAACCTCTTGTCTGTTATGAGGAGACATACACCTGACAGAAAGAAGGAATGTACCTGTATACTAAAGTGAATATATAATTTACCACTCTTCTTGTTTTCTGTTCTGAATTAGAATAGTTTCCATAATCAACATGATACAATCCTAATATCTTGATGATATACAGGATAAATTATCCATTGTCAGGTTTTCTTACAAATACATGTTCATGTATCTTGATAGTGTCCTGTTATTTTCTGAATGTTTGTTAATATATTGTCCAACAGAGGCCTCATAAAATTATTTATGTAATTTATTGATATCTCCTGCTTATATATACATACATCTATGTAAGAGTCTTTGTTATAGGTATACGGACCTGGGATCATCAGTTACCATATTGATTTCTGGTAAATTAATTTTCCCATTATATTTGTTTAAAATTCCATTCCCTACCACTTCCAGATTCCAATGGGTCTAAAAGTCTATTGTACACTTCCCTTATGCATTGTTTGCCTCAGGCATCTAAGTCCAATAATTTTACTGTTCTACATCCTGTAGATACCTATATTTTTTGCCATTGCCAACGACCATACTTTCTCAGACTGCTTGTAAGGTCTTAGACAAAATCTGTTGGAGGTGTACTGGTTGATATTTTTGTTCATGAAAACATGATTATTTTTAAATTGTAAAAACCAGTAACTGTGAGTACATTTTTTTGTACTTCAATTGGTTCTTTGTGTCTTTTTAACCGGATTTTCAAAGGAAAAATTGTTTATTGATTTGTAGATGTATGGTGGGCGGCTGCCAAACCGTGTCCGTTCATTAACATGAAAAAGCTTTGACGAAATTTTTTCAAATTTAGATATGTTGTTTCCTGTGACTAAATGAAGTTCAAGGTCAATTTTCACCAGTTTAGCTTTTCTCCTTGTTGAGTTCTAGCCCTTTCCCAAGAATTCAATTTTTGAAGAATTATTCCATTTCTGTACAAAGGGAAATAACTCATTTATTAAACAGTCTTCGAATTTAGCCACAAGTCCGACGGTCCTGGCCAGTAAAATCGGCCGTGGACTTGTCAAATTTGTTGTTCAAAAGTCCGACTGGGCTTGTAGATTTTTCGGTAGTTGGTACGCTCTTTGCGTCTTTGGTAATTAGTGATACCAATAAATCGGTTTCTATTTTGCGCTTTTTCACATGAATTAAACGTATTGCGATTAATACTGGATCGAGACATTGTATGAAATGACAGATCATTGGTTTCCTTCCCCCTAACTTATATTCCCAAAATGTTTCTTCGGCAATGTACTGGCGGAGCTCGTCCGGGAAGCCGTTTTAGCCCCCCGCCGATGACAATGTAAGGAAGAGAAAGTACGACGCTACACGGTCGCGTCAGTTCCTTTCCAGTTGGTTAGAAGGAAGTCCGTGGTTGATGTATGAGTTGAAAAACAAAATGTTCTGTTCATGGTGCACAGAACATAAAATGGATTCACAGTTTGTGACCCCAGGTAGTGACAACTTTAAATTGGATACTATTAAAATTCACGAGAAGAATAAGAGTCACAAATTTATTGCTCTAAATATGAGAAGCCTGCAGCTGAACCATCAGAGTCTGAAAAATGTTACAGCATTCTAGCAGGGTCCGACACTTACGGTTGTCCGATTGCCCGGGGCAAGCTAATGCCGTATTCGGACAAGTAAAAACATCATCTTGGTTGTCCGATCGGGCAAGTGAAAAAAAAAGTGTTATATGATTAAAATTTCACAAAATCAATAGTGTCTGTTGTTTTGTCCATAGATTACTCAGTGATAACACCGCACGGTCGAGTAAAGTGGTCTTAACCCCCCTTCAGTGCGTATATTTCGTCAATTGTTCGCACTGAATTCCCCATTTTACCAAAAATAGATCACGTTTAAAAATATTGGCCAATCAGGCGGCCGCGGCGTTGCTTCGTCATTATCGTTATCCATCGGGACACCACTCGGGCGTTTCCGACGCACGTGTTATTCCCACCGACCAATGGAAAGCGGAGGTCTATTTTCGTTGTTCTAACTTTATAATTTGACATCGGATGTGTATTTCCCTAAGATGGAAAAACGTAAAAGCTTGAAAGAGAAAATGAAATTAAACTTTAACAAATTTGTCAGTTGTTGTCAGTTTATCAAGAAGGGTTTTTTGAAATGGCATTTCTTAGATAAATTATTATGAAATAAGTATCTCTATGTAAATGATCCAATAGTATATTTTCATACTCCATAATCAATTTACACCCCATATACATGATAACTATATTTTATCTGCATGTACTACATTACAACCACAAAAATAGCATGTAAAAGTTTGGGCATGTAGATTTCACTTTCGGACAAGTAAAAGTAATAGGGCACTTGCCCAACTGGACAAGTTGGTATAAAAGTTAATGTCGAACCCTGTCTAGAGAAGGCACCTTCTTTCTAAATTTTTAAGAGAATAAAATTATTATAACAGCTACTTTTTACTTTTTTCTCCAATTGTCAATGTTATTCCTATTAAATTTATCTTCAAAACATGACACTCAAAGCTCTCAGAATGCAGGATTTTGCATCTAATTTTCAAAATTTTTCTGGGGGGGCATGCCCCCAGACCCTCCTAGCTGGTTCGCAGCGCTTCGCGCTGCTCAGCCGTGATAATAATTTGTGTGGTCTAGTAGAATTTTCTGGGGACTTGTAAAATTTATGAACCACAAGTCCTACTGACTTGTAGGTTGAAAAGTTAAGTGTGAAGACTGTTAAAAGATTTTTATAAGACATTGTATTAATGATAAATGACATTTTGGATTTTTTTTTCTTTTCTTTGGTAAATTGTTTGAAGAATTTTGTGGTAGGTTTGTTTGTTATTCTGTATAAACTTATTTTCTGAATGCTATATATAAATTTTTTTTTGATGAAGTGAACTCCTTTAATTAGATGATAATCTATTTTTTTATTAAAGGATATATTTCATTACATTACATTGTGTAGATAAAGTTGTTGACATTGATAGATAAGTTGCAGATCTATATTAGTTTGTGAAAGAACAAATATTTGGAACTATTAATTATATTTGATTAAAATTTTGAAAATAGATATACATTGTGTAACATCATATCTAATTTTAGAGAGTTAAATCATATCTAATTTTAGAGAGTTAAATCATATCTAATTTTAGAGAACTATGTTTGCTTTATTAGTTAAACCATATTTCTGTTCAAAGGGAAATAACTCAAACTTATTCCATGAACTAATAATGATAAAATAAGTAACTATATTGATTCTGTTCAATTAATTTTAGTCATTAGTTGTCAAAATTTCTTTATAACTATTATCTTTGAGTCGTGTGTTATGAAGGTAGATGTCACAGTTGTTATGTGGTATTTTATTTTTGTTGTGTGTGTTAATGTTTAATTTATACATGATCCAGTTTGGGGTTCATATTTGCAAATATCCTTTTCATTATTAATTAGATAATAATCTATTTTAAATATTCAATCACAATCCAAATTCAGAGCTGTTTTAAGCTTAAATGTTGTGTCCATACTTGATCAACTGTTCAGGGTTCGACCTCTGCAGGAAAATCCAGTTTGTTGTCACTCGACAGCCTCTTGTTGTTATTTGTTTTTGTGCTTCCTAAAGTTGCTAATACCTTCATAAGTTGGTCTCTGATAGATAGTTGTCTCATTGGCGATCATACCACATTTCCTTACATTATATTTAGAACTGATCTGTTTAGTCAATATAAAATAACAAAGAAGTGGTATGATTGTCAATGAGACAACTCTCCACCAGAGACCAAATGAAGTAGAAGTTTACAAATATAGGCCACCATAAGGCCTTCAACAATGAGCAAACCCTATACTGCTAATAAGCTATAAAAGGTCCTGAAATGGAGAATGGCTAACAATTCAAATAAGAAAACTAATGGCCAAATTTACGCACAAAACAATAAATGAAAAAAAAACAAATATTATATACAGCAACAAAAAACAACCACTGAATTACAGGCTCCTGACTTTGGACAGGCACATACAGAATGTGGCTATGGTTAAACATGTTAGCTGGAGCAAATATCTTCCCCTAACCTGGGACGGTGGTGTAACAGTACAACATGAGAACAAACTATAAACATGTTTAACCCTGCCACATTCTTTATGTGCCTGTCCCAAGTCAGGAGCCTGTAGTTCAGTGGTTGTTTGTTCATGTCTGTCACATTTGTTTTTTTTGTAAATTGTTTTGTTATAAATTAGGCTGTTAGTTTTCTCAATTGAATTGTTGCGTATTTTTCATGTCGGGGCCGACTATACGGTATGAACTTTTCTCATTGTTGAAGGCCGTATGGTTGTCTATAATTGCTTACATCC